ACCGAGTCACTGAGAAGGCTGCACAGGGGGGCCCTGCGCTTACCGGATTTCACAGGGCACAAGGGGGCTCCCCAAGGTGAAGGCACCTGCTGGTAAGCGGCCGGACCACGATGTGAACTCTGCTTGCTCTGGTTCTGAAGAACCCGTCATCTACACAGAACGTCACTATCCAGCGCGGATCACTCGCCACACACAGTTATTACAGGAAGCTAGCGACTGCCAGTTGGACAACGCAGACTCATTCCGTCGCCACACACAGCATTTCTGCTGGGCGGCGCTGGTGTAGAATATTAAAGACAGAAAGGCCTCTGCTGGTTAGCCTCCTCCAGATCCCAAGCCCATGCTGCAGATGAAGAAACTGAGGCCCATGGATCCACCCACTTCCCAAGACCTCCCAGCACGACCAAGGCCTGAGATTCTGACCCCCCCACCCCCAGTGTCTCTCTGTCTCACACTCACCCCTCCCTGCCCACACTCTGTGATGCTCCTGATAACGTGGATGCACACATCAAACCCAAGGGTGATGTTTCTGTGCGTTGTCCCACCCAGAGCCATGTGGCGTTATGGACGCCAGGGCACTGACAGGACTGCCGACACACACCTGTGAGCAGACACGCTTTCTTGACCCCTTTGCAACCAGGACACTTTCCCAGGCGCTCCCGGGACCCTCCCATGACACCCTGCCCCCACACAGAGCCTTCCCAGGCAGGCCTCATCCCTTCCTCTTGGGAGCCCTGGTCACTTCCTCCACCCTGCCCTCCCCTCCGGGGCCTCCTCCCTCTCCTTCTCAGTCCCGGTTCCAAGCTCCTGCCTACCCACTTGCCGGCCACCTGCTCCGCTCAGGGCCGGGGGAGGAGTGGGCTGGCTCTTCTGTTTGCCAAGGCAGCTGCCTGCGGCCACTCGCTCACGCTGGACCAGAATGCAGAAACATGCCTTCGGAAGCAGAAGATAAAAGAGGAGGAAGTTAGGGCAGCAGGCTGGCTGCCCCCGCTCTCATTTTCCCTACAGATTTTCCCCTGCCCCTCCTCTCCCTGATCCCAGCCCCTGGGCAGGCGCGGGGGAGCCTTCCCACTCTGGACACGGGTCTGAGGCTGCCCAGGTGGGAAGAGGGGCTCAGGTCCTTCTTCGCCCCGTTTGCAGCTTCATGTGCCTGGCACTGTGCCCAGAGTTTTGTAGTTTTCTCCCTGAACCTCCCCAACATAGCCAGGAGGCGCACACGCTGTTATTGTCCCCATTTATTGGAGGAGACAGAGAGGTGCGGCACCAAGTTCAATAGCACACAGTCAGGTGGGGTGAGTTGTGATAGGACCACAGGGCTTTGTGAGCCCGGAGCCCCTGCTCCTGAGCCACATTCTCTTGCCGTTGGTGACATTGGAAGAGCATATACAGGTGACCCGGGTTCTCTCCACAGCTTTACTAGGAATATGCCTGCTCCCTGAGGCCTCAGTTTCCCGATCTGTTAAATGGGAGACCAGAATTCCAACGGAGGGTCCAGAAGGAGGTTAGCAGTGGAGGTGCATTGAAGGGAGGATGCCTCCCGGGTGTGTGAGGCCCGGGTGCTCTGGATCAGTAGTTCTGCACTGATTTTGATAAACTCCTCCCTCTGAGCATCTGCTGAGAGCCATGCACCTTTGCCCCAGAAAAACAACCTTGGGGGTACAGGACCCTCACACCAGCCCCATCCCCTGCCTGGACCTTGAGTCAGAACATGGGGTTTACTCCAAAGCTCGGGGCTGTGTTTTGAGGAGGAAGTCGAGCCCTCCTCCTGTTTTATGGGCGATGCTCTCGGACCTCAGCTCCTGGAACAGAGCCAGGTTCACGGGGCCTCCGTGCTCAGAGCCCCGTGTGACTCCCACCAAAGCTGATTTCTAGGACGGGGTGGGCATCAGGCAGGACTTCCCCGGAAGGTGGGCAAGACAGTGCCAAGGTGGCTGGGACAACATGTTAGATTAAAATAGATCCCCTGGGCCCCACGCAGAGGTCTGAACAGGGCCTTAGAAGACACATTTTTAAAACACCCGCAAGGGGCTCTGAAGCAGCCCGTAGGAGAACCACTGATTTAAGGTCTTTGCCTAGCATGGGGCTTTATTTCTCGGGTGGGGAAACTCTCTCCCTCCCTCCCAGAGGAATTGAACTCCAGCTCGGACCATGCAGGGCCTGGAAGCTGGTGAGCAGCGCAGAACCCGGCCCTGCACTCGGGAGCTTAGAGCCTCCTCCTCCGTGGCCCTGTCTCTGCCTAGAGACCTGGGAACCAACCTTTCAGGAAGTGGCCCCTTGCCCCGGTCTCTCTGCTGGGGCCTTTGAAAATGGTGGCTGAGCAGGGGACCCGAGCAGGGGCCTGAAGGTCTATGGGTCCATCTCCTGCCTGGGGAGCATGGGTACCTTTGAGAGGCACGTTGGGCCCAATGCTCCTCAGACGCCTGTTCCTATTCCTGACACCCTTGACTGCAAATCCTCTCCCAGCTCATTTCAGTTCGGCTCACTGTTGCTCAAATCTAACTCCTGTTCCTGCAAGAGACATCTGTGGGGAGCAGCCACTGGGTACCCAGGCAGGGGTGGGTGGGTGGTGGTGGTGGTGGAAAAGCTACGTCAGGCCCTGGACTTCAGGAGCTCATTGTCAGCCGGGAAGACCACCTGACCAGCAGCCACACACCTGAGCTGGGGGAGTGGGGGGGAGGTATCGTGTCTGGGAAAGCAAACCAGAGGCTCCATCACAGGAAGCTCCCCAGGGAGGGCGACCGGTCCTGCTGCTTTCCTCTGGGTGCAGGGCGGGCAGGGGGTGCGCACCCCGGGGAGGGCCTGTTGTTGTGTGAGACTCTCAGTCTGCCCGTGAGTCCTGGCTTTCTCTAGCTTCCTCCCAGGTCATGCATCCTAGTCTCCAGCTTCTCATCCTTCTCCACAGTGTCCCACCACTCCCTGCAGGCTCCCTCCTGCTGCCCAGACACAAAGCCAGGGACACGATGCCCAGGGTCTGTGCAGAGAGGGCATCTGTGCCTGCCGGCTGGCTTCCTCGGTGCCTGCCAGCGTCCTTCTCTGTCCCCACCAGCCTCATCTGGGTGGCTGAGATCTGCTCATATGCTTAGGAGGAGACCAACATTTGGAGGACACGACGGAGTGCGCCCACGGCAGAGCCTGGACATGCAGGCCCGGAAACGGCAGGCTCAGTGGTGGGGGGAAAGCCAAAAGCCTGGGAAGGCGGATAGCCGAGTTCTTTGTGCGGCCCCGCCTGGAACTCGCAGTGTGACCTGGTACAATCTACACCGAGCTGCACGGAGGCTGAAGTCCTGCGTCCCACTCCGTACTTAACGCATCAGAATTTGCATTTTAGCAAGACACCCCGCAGACTTGCTTCTTGCCATTCGTCAGCCTGGGTCCAGGGTGGCAATGTTGGCAGCCACGGCCAGTTCCAGCCCCCCAGCCGCCACCTCTGTGAGAGGAAGGGGTTGGACTAGAGGACCTTAGTGGTGGAGGTGTCAGCTCTAGCCCCAACCTAGTTTTGTTTGGCCAGAGACTATGTTTATACTTACAAAGAATAAGGTGCCAGTATTTTTTAAAAAAAATATTTTATTGATTTTTTTACAGAGAGGAAGAGAGAGGGATAGAGAGCTAGAAACACCGATGAGAGAGAATCATCGATCAGCTGCCTCCTGCACACTCCCTACTGGGGATGTGCCTGCAATCAAGGCACATGCCCTTGACCGGAATCAAACCTGGGACCTTTCAGTCCACAGGCCGACGCTCTATCCACTGAGCCAAACCGGCCTTGGCAAGGTGCCAGTATTTTTAAATTGAGACATTTCACATCAATACTTCAAATTCTCTTCTAATCACCAATATTTAGATGCTAAAATCCCAGGAACCTCCTAAAACATATAAAAAGATGTCCTGCCTTACTCTTAGTATGAGAACTACAAATCAGATCTACACGGAGCTGCCATTTGTTCCCAGTCTTGCGAACAGAGATAAGAAAGTTTAATAGCATACCACGTGGGCAAGAGTGAAGGAAAATGGGCCCTTCACCCTAAGTTGGTACCATCTCTAGGACGGGAAGTCTCTCATTATCTACCAAAATTACCAAACAACAACCACTCATTGACCAAACAACACAGGTTCTAGAAGTCTGTCCACAAACACTTGCACACATGGGAAACGTAATGATAACATGCACATGGATGGCTAGTGGTTGCAGCGGTGTTTGTAATAGCCACAGGTTGGAGCTAACCCAATGGCCCATCAACAGAGATTGGCCGGGTACATTACAGCCATATGATTAAATGCAGCATCGCGAGGAGCTCTTTGTGTAATGGGAGGAGGCTCACCTAAGTATCTAATGAAAAACAGAGTATGCAGAGCAGCTTGCAAGATCTAGTAGCACTGTGGTCAGCAAACTGGCTCGTGAGCCACATGCAGTTCTTTGGCTCCTTGAGTGTGGCTCTTCCACAAAATACCACAGCCTGGGCGAGTCTATTTTGAAGAAGCGGTGTTAGAAGAAGTTTAAGTTTAAAAAATTGGGCTCTCAAAAGAAATTTTAATCGTTGTACTGTTGATATTTGGCTCTGTTGACTAATGAGTTTGCCGACCACTGCTGTAGCATTTGCATGGGGGAGAGTGTCTGGAAAGATGCTCTGGTAAGACTGGCTGTCTCTGGGTCCAGGGGTGAGAGGGAGTCTCTTCACTATCTACGCTTTTGAATTTTTTTGAGCTTTGAACAAAAACTATTCAAAGAACAAAAAACTAAACACTTTCAGGGGCCTAGAAACTCTACATGGTTCTAATGTGTTATGATTTGGTGAGCCTAACTTACAGGCCTCTGGAAGGCTCATCCATCACCCATGGTTCTCCTGGGTCTCAGTCCTTGCTTTGTCCTTGGGTCGGCCACAGCACTCCCTCTGAGCTCGGGCATCTCCGAAGGAGGGCTATCTACCCGCCATGAGGAAGCTGCATCAACGCCAGCATCTCCGGGGCCTTCCCTCACCCCTCTGACTTCTCTGTCCTCCTAGGGGAGCCTTCTCGGTGGTGCGCCGGTGTGTGAAGGTGCTGGCTGGCCAGGAGTATGCTGCCAAGATCATCAACACCAAGAAACTCTCAGCCAGAGGTATGTGGGAGATCCATGCCTTCCCACCTTTGGGGGTCTCCTTCCCTTCACCCCTCCCTCTGCCCCTTGGCTTAGAACCAGAACCGGAGTCTGTCCCCTGGGGCGATGCTGCAGGCAGGGGTGAGAGCTCTTCTTGTGGGTCCTACAAAAACAGATCCCTCCCTCCATTTCCCATCCTGACAGATCTAGGCTGGAGGTCAGACCTTTCTGATAGGCCAAGCTCTCTGCCTGGACATCCAAGTGAGCTAGGGTGCCAAGTGGGACTTCCTTTCCCTTCTTTTCTGCCTCTCGCCCCCATTCTCACCTCTAGACCTCTGCACCTGCTGTTCCCTCTGCCCGGTTGCCCTTACCTGGCTCCTATGCTGACTATCAGGTCACATACTTTGAGACACTTCCCTGATTCCCAAATCTGAGGGCATCTCCCCCATTTTATATCTCTCATTACTGTTTACTTTCCTGTGGCCCCCCTCCCCACCCCCCAACCTGGACTTAATTCATTTACTGGCTTGGTTCCTTGTTTGACACTCATCTTCCTCATGACTTGAAGTTCTAAGAGGGTAAGAAGGAGGGGTCTCATTCCCTGTGATATGCTCAGTACCTAGGACAGCGCCTTGTGCAGCCAAGGTGCTCGGCTAGTGTCCATCTAACTCCAGGTGCTCATGGCAACCACACCAGTCTGATCTCTGGTCCCTGATGCCCCCTGGGACAGTGGCTTCCAAACCTGTTCTAGCCATGGGATCTCCTGGAGAGCTTCAAACACTCCTGACGCCTGGGCTCCACTCCTGGCGCGGGGGTGGGGGTGGGGTGGGGGTGGGGATCGTGATTTAATTAGCTTGGGATGTGTGACCTGGGAAAGATCCACAGGTAATCCTAATTTGGAAGCGAGCCTAGATCAGCAGCAACATCGTCACTGGAAGATTGGTAAACATGCAAATTCTTGACTCCAGACTCAGAGTCTGCATTTTAACAGCACATCCAGGCAATTCATGTGGATGGTAAAACTTGGGGAGCTTGCCTAGAAGTCTTGCTTCTTCACTGTGGCAGTAATGACTCGGGCAGTAATAGCGGTGGCCATGGTGAGGGTGTTGGGTCTTTGGTGAGGGTTACCTTCAAAGATTCAATCCCTGGTCTGAACAGTGTCTAAGCTACCTTGAGGGGGATCACTGGGTGGTGGAGGGGATTCTGGCAGGTGGCATGGTGCAGGTGTGGGCTGTGCAGCCCAGGGCTTGTGTGGTGTTGGAGACACCGTGTGCAGGACTGGCATAGTCCAGGTGTTTGCCTGGTGCAGGTGACAGCTGTGTCTGGGTGAGGGCCCAGCAGGTGCGGGGATCATGGAGGCTGAATCAGGATGTTCACGCTGTCCCCTGCAGGCCTTCCAGCAGTCCCTTGTGTTGCTGCTTTTCATCTCTCCGACTCAGTGTGGTTGGGCGCCCAGCACTTTCTCCTAGTTACCACGCTCCCCTATAGGCCAACCAGCGTCCTGCCGGGAGAAAAGCCTAGAGTTGGGATGGGCCACATTCTTCGAAAGCCCAGGGCCCCAGTGGCACGTGGCCATCGTGAAAGCCTGTGTGGAAGGAAGGGAGAGACCTGTCCTGCGAAAGGTCTGGAGCCAGAGCCAGGGGGAGGGACCAGGACGGGCAGGAGGGCCACCTAGAGCGCTGCCTCCTGTCCAGATGGTGGAACTGGCCTTGCTGTTGCTGTGTGACTAGGGGCAGCCTGGTGCCCTCTGTGTTTTGTGTCTCTGACAATCGAGGAAGATGGCCCAGATGTCCCTGAAAAAGAGTGGGGGCAGGACCAGAGTTTCGACTTGGGGTGACGGGTTGATGTTGCCTCGAAACAAGGGAGGATCAGGAACCGAGGTCCTTCCTGGGTGCTGGGCGTCTTGAGTGGGTTCAACACACACACACACACACACACACACACACACACTCATGTATGGGGGAGAATGGAGAGAAACTGCCTCTTTTTTAGAAGGTGACTAAGCATTCCTGGGCAGTGTGTGCAATGGGCTGTGCCAGGCAGTAACTGCCATGCCCCCTCTTTTGATTTCTTGACCCTTTGACTTCCTGGGAGGAAGGTGGCCCAGGCCCAGGTGAGCCTGGAAGGTGGGAGTGGGGATGTTCTTGGAGGAACCTTTCCCAAGGAGCCTGCCAGCTGCCAATGCTTCCCCCCCAGCGGGAGGAGAGCTGGGCTCCTTTTTAGCCAGTTCCTTTGTTTGCTACTCAAGGTGCCTGGAGTGGGCAACATTTTGAGACTGAATATTTGGCAGTGCACGCGAAGTTGCTCCTGCTGGCACTCCCAAGTGCCTTTGGCTGCTCCCGGAGTGTGTGTGTGGGGGGGCGGTAGTGCCCCCCTGGGTGTCTGTCCAACCGCCAGGGAGCTACACTTCCCCTTCACTGGGGCAGTCTCTTCTCTCCAGTGGTTCTGAAACCCAGGAGATACTTGTATATATTTTTAAGTTAGTCTTTTCAATAAAATGCTCATAGGATAGATGATTCCAAGAAACCAGATAGACACGAAGTGAGAAGTAAAAATGCTGCCTGTCCGGATCCCTGCCAAATGCCCTGGGAGCCTTTATAAAACTGCAGCTGCCCTGGGCGGCTCCACCCCCGGACTTGGATGCAGTAGGTGAGGCCCAGGCTCAGCGTTGACAAAACCCTGTCAGCGAGCGTCTGCTCAGCGAAGTCCCTGCCAGGGGCTATGTGTGCTTTCCAGCCCCAGCTCACTGGGCACACCCAGAAAGAGTTCATTGCCGTGGTTGGGCACAGGGGCCTGGCTGGTGCAGCCAGAGGTGACTGGCCTGGGTGCAGCGATCTCTATAGGCCTCACTGTCCACCCTGGCCCTGAGGGGCCACTTCTCGACTCCCTGGTGACCAGCCTCAGGACAGGGGGTAGGAAGCAGGGCCTGTGCTCATTCAGCTGCCCCAGAGCTGCAGGCCCATGTGAGGGAGCATCTCTCCTCTCCTCCTCCTTTTCCTCCCACCCTGCCTGGCACTCAGTCCTCGGGATTATTTATCCAACCTCTCAGGATCAGGAGCCCTGCTGAGGCCTGTGGAGGATGGGGCACTTCCTGTTCCAGACTCCTGGTTCCCGTGCCTCTGGTCCCAATCCCACCACCCACCTGCCTCTGGAGCCCATCTACCCCTGGAGCCCACCTGGGCAGGAACCTGCCCCTCTGCAAGCAGAGAGCCCTGGAGCTGCCTGATTATACTCCCACCACCCCCTCCACCTCTGCTCTGTCCCACCACACCCTGCTGGCCTCCATAACCTACCTCCAGAGTACCTATCTACCTCTGCCTGCTGGTCCCCACAACCCCAACACCTGGAGGCCTGCACCCAGGAAGGGATGGGGAATGTTCACAAGACATGTTGTGGGCACTGGGGGTCGGCCCTTCCAGGGCTGTAGACTTGCTTCCTGCAGACCTCTCACCAGTGTGGGGCTCTACCTACCTGGATGGGTTGATTTAGCAATGAATTAATTACTAGAATGGGAGGCAAGATGGGATAGTCTTTGTGAAGATGGATCGAGGTCCGAGCTCTGCCCATTCTCAGCTATGGGATCTTTGGCCAGCTGGGCTCTAAGCCTGGGAACACGGTAGTGACTGGTGGGCAGCCTCGTGTTCTCATGGCACCTGCTTTCAGGAAGCAGGACCGAAAGAGCATTAAACACAGACAAGCTGGGCAATCTCAGGAAGTGATGAGTGTTGTGAAGAAAATAAGACAAGGTAATGGGGAAGTAGATGAGGCAGAAAAAAAGAAGGCTGCAGTCACGAGAAGGCCCGGGATAAGAGCATTCCAGGCAGAGGGCACAGCAAGTGCAAAGACCCCGAGGTGGGAAGGGTTTGGTGTGCTTAAGGCTCAAAAGGAGACCAAGGTGGCAAGGCCAAGATGAGGCACTGTCTTCTTGGCTATAGTGAGGAGTTTGGATTGTGTTGTAAAGACATTAGGAAGCTATCGGGGAGTTTGAAGCCTGGGAATGACAGGATCTATTTTATATTTTAACTAGAGGCCCAGTGCACAAATTTGTGCATGGGTGGGGTCTAGCTGGCCCGCCCTGATCGAGGACTTTTGGGGCCGGGCCAATGGTGGGGGAGAGGCCACAGGATGTTGGATGGTTGGCCCCAGCCCTGATCAGGCCCGTTGGTTGGACCCAGTGTGTGTCATAGCAACCAGCTGTTCCAGTCATTCTGGTCATTTCTGTCACTTGGCTTTTTTATATATGGATAAGAGCTCCTTGGCTGCTGAGAACTTTTGACAGATTAGGGTTAGGGGTGTGTGTCCATGAGTGGATTCTCAGGGCTTTGAGTTCTAATAAGGCTGGACCATCTAGCTGAGTGAGTTTGATAAAGTGACTGCTTCTTCTTTTTTTAAAATATATTTTATTGAATTTTAACAGAGAGTAAGGGAGAGAGATAGAGAGCTAGAAACGTCAATGAGAGAGAAGCATCGACCAGCTGCCTCTTGCACACCCCCTACTGGGGATGTGCCCGAAACCAAGGTACATGCCCCTGACCGAAATCGAACCTGGGACCCTTCAGTCCGCAGACCACTGAGCCAAAACAGCAATTGACTGCTTCTTTATCACCGTGCCTCAGTTTCCCCATCTACACAACAGAATGAGGCCTCAGAGGTCAAGAGAAATACAATCCCTACATTTCTTGAGGTTTCCTGTATATTATTAGAAAATGAGAACATTTTCAAACAGAGTTATAGAAATCATTGTGTAACATGTATGTTCCCACTTAAGTTAATCCTTTTAGCAAATTGCAATGCAGTGTAACTGTACTACACACAAGATGATTACAAGATTTATAAAAACAACGTGTCCCTAGCATTTTCCACACTGAGGTCTGGTAACCAGGCACAAGTTAGCTGCACGACCAACGGTTTCTTCTTTCAATCCTGGGTATAATTTTGATCCTGGCTAAGCTCACATGGAAGAAACACCAGAATTCTGAATTTGCCCTCCCCCCCCCCCCCCAAGGAGGCCCAATTTTGACCTGCCTCATTTCTGCTTCTGCTGGAGATGGAGGGTGGAAGGGACAGGGTATGGAGCAGGGGTGGGCCCAGCCTTCCTCAGTACATGGGGGATTCCCCTCCTTTGCTTTGGAATTGCCCTTCCCCCACCCTAAAGGGTAAATAAAGAAGGAGGCTGGGAGGGAAGGGGAGTTAGGCCAATGCCCCTGGGCCTACCTCCCCTCCTTAGCCTGCAGCTGGTCGTTAGCTGGGGAGTTGAGCTTACACTCTATGAAAACTTGATTGGATTTAATTGCTTTGCTGATGGAAAAGCCACATTTTGGTATTGATCTTGGCTTCTGCAGCCCTTGGAGGATGGGCAGTGATTGTTCCCATGGAGGGGGTGGGGAAAGGGGAGCTGGCTAGGACTCCATCCTCATCGCCCTCCCTGGTGCTTACCTGCTCTGAAGAGGCCCTTGGGAGACCAGGGTTCCAGTCCTAGCTCCACCTCTGAGTCTTTGTGAGAACCCTCCAGTGGGGCTCGATTTTCCCCTTTGAGAATGGGGGGGCCGCGGGGGAGCAGGCAGAGGTGGTGGAGATTAGTCAGGGCATGGAGAATAGTACAGCACAGGGCTTCAAAGTCACTCCTGGAGTCTGGCTGCTTGGGTACAACACATGGCTCTACTGCTCACGACGGGTGTGACTTTGGGCAGGTGCTTAACCTCTCTGAACCTCTGTTTCTTCCTCTTAAAAGGCAGAAGAGTAATTACACCTCCCTCAAAGGTTTGTAGTGAGGGCTTGAAATGCATATAAAGCTCTGCAATGTGCCTAGCACATGGTAAATATTCTACGTTTGTAAATGGCTCCCCTTTTATTGGTGTTGTTTTTTTAATTAAGGCATTAATGACTGAACAGTGCGTAAAGCACCAGGAAGGGAATTAGAAAATACATTTCCAGTCCCAGTTCTGCCATTGATGAGGCCCTGGCTTCTCAGGCTACAGTTTTCTCATCTGTAAAGTGGGGGCAGCGATGCCCAGGGCCAGGGTGTTGGGAGGACTGAATGGGGTATGACTTGCCCAGCAGCCTCAGGGGGCAGATCCTGAACCGGCCTCTGTCCCAGGTGAGCGGGGAGACCCAGAGGGTGTGGACAAAAGTCCGGGAAGGCAGGTGTGAGAGCTCTGGCTCAGCCACATACAAGTTCTACCCTGCGTGTTTTGCGGGGCTCTCTGTGTTCTCTGCTCGGGAGGTGTCTTCTGCAAATTAATACAGCTCTTCCACAGAGAATACCCACTCCTTCAGAGAGGTTCACTCATTTAATCATTTGTTTTTTCATGCGGTTATTTTTTGAGTACCTACTGGGTGCCAGGCATTTGGGTAGATGCCAGGGGCACAACAGATCAAGTCCCCGTCCATACTCAAGGGTAGAGATAGCAACAAGACAGAGTGAGATGTGCTATCCAGGGGCCCTGAGAGCACAGAGGAGGGGCCCACCAGACTGGCAATCAGGGCAGGCTGCCAGGAGAGGGCGACATTAAGAATGGGTACAAGTGAGTGTTGGCCAGTGAAGGGCCAGTGGGAGGTTGAGGGGGAGTGTTCCGGTGTATGAGGGCCCCAAAGTGAGAGGACTGAGCAGGGTGTGCCCAGAGAAGTGGATTTCAGCGGTTCGTCGTCGGGCGGGAGTGTAGTGTGAGGGGCAGCGCTGGAGGAGGGCCAGCAGGAGCCGGGCCCGGCTTCATGGCGTTTGGGTCTAATACAAGGAGGGGCTCAAGGATGCTCTTCCTTTGAGAGCCCTGGCGCCTGAGGCCCACAGGGACTTCTGCATCATCTCAACCCGGCCTCTCCGTCTTCTGTTGCGTCTCGCTGCCCTGAGAACCCAGCTCTGCCTGAGAGGGCCAGGGGCTGCTCTGGGAGATGGTTATCCTAAGAGGCTGTGGGAGGGGGACATGGAGTGGGTGGAGGTTACTCCTCACCTGGGACTCACCCGGGATCTACCTATTCCTGTTTCAGACCATCAGAAGCTGGAGCGTGAAGCCCGCATTTGCCGCCTGCTGAAGCACCCCAACATCGGTAAGTTCTTGGAGAACAAGAGAGGGGTGCAGGGTGGGGCTTGGCCCTGCTCCCTTGCCCAACCTGGTGTGTGTGTGTGTGTGTGTGTGTGTGTGTGTGTGTGTGTTTTCTGATGAGGTGGGGAGGCAGCTGCTCTCTTTTCTGGGGATGGTGGTAAGAGAGATGGGACAAGAGGGTGTCTTTGACGGTTTCCACGCTCCTCAGAGACCAGCTTGGCTGGGGGGAAGGTGAAGAAAGGGCCCTTCCCCGCGGCCCACGCTGCCGGCAGCCTCCTTCAGAAAAGCTGTTTCAGGAAAACTCCCGGAGCCTTCCATCTCTCCCGAGAGACAAAAATAGGCCAAGCTTGGCCTTGGCCGGTGCAGCCCACTTCCCTACCTCACCCCCATGCTGAGTCAGCCTGCACGGTGGTCCTGCCCACCTGCCCAGCCCTGTGGCTGGCCTCCCCATTCCAGGCAAGCAGCAAGGCGGCCCCTGGGCAGGGATAGAAAGCATGCAGGCTGTGTGGAGGGGCGGGACCCAGGGCAGGCGGACTCCCCTCCCCACCCCTGCACAGACTGAGGGGCTGTTTCCCTGCCCATCGGAGTCCTGAGTCCTGAGGGAAAGAAGTACAGATTCCAGATAAAGTTCTGCAGGAAACGGCTGTGTGACCTTGGGGAGGAGCACTACCCTCTCTGAGCCACTTTCTCCCAGCTTCACAAGGAGAGTGCCGTCGGAACCACCTGAGTGTCGTGTTAACAAGTAGATTCTGGTTCGGCAGATCTGGGTCTGGGTGGGGCCCACGATTTAGCATCTCTAATATGCGCCGAGGCAGTGCCAAGGCTGCTGGTTCACAGACCACGCTCTGAGGAGCGAGGAGCAAGGCCTGGGTGCCCGCTAAGGAATATTCCAACCCTGACAGCCACCACACCTTCTCCCTCCAAGGAAGTGTTTCCCGGTGTGCAGGGCCCCAAGGGTTAACTCTTCTGCTGGAGAGAAGCATCTCCATCTGCTATTTATACCCAAAAAGCACCTCCCCTTCCCTGAGCCCGAGCCTGGGAAGGGGAGCAGGGCCGCACAAACAGCAGCAGCAGCAGTGGAAGCGCCAGAACCAAAGAAGGGGCAGCTGGCAGCTGCGGGGGGCGGGGGGGACACACTCTGATTGGACGCTGGTCCCTGATCTGCTCCGGCCTCACTGTGTGGTGCCCTCCTGTGCTCCAACCCCCAATGGTATCATGGAGGAGATTATGAGTGATCTCTGTCTACAAAATCCCACAGGTCCTATAAAGGAGGCGTGTGTGTGTGTGTGTGTGTGTGTGCACGCGCGTGTGTGTTTTGCTACTTCCTTGCAGCTGTCTTAAGTCAATGCTGCCTCCTCCGATTTGCACCCCATCTCCCTCTCATTCCCAGGTCTAATGGGGAGCAGTAAGCATGGGCTCTGGGGCTGACAGACTAGCTCTCTGTATCACCACCACCTGCTGATGGGGCAGACCCCAGAAGGCCACCCCAAGGAGCAGGGGACAACTTGAGGGGTTAGCAAGTCTTTTTGGGATGCCAGGTACCCTTGTTGTTAGGAAAAGAGGCTCGGAGAGGTTACGGAATTCACCGGAAGTCACACAGCTTGTAAGAGATGTCGCTGGGAGGTGAACCCAGCACGTCCGACTCCAGAGCCTGTTCTCATTCTATTCAGCTTCCCAAGTGGACTGTAGAAGTGTGCTGTCAGCAGGGGTAAAGGGGGGGTGGGGGGGGGCATGTGTGGGTAGAGGGAAAAGTACCTTCCTTTAATTTCTAAGAGAAAAACGATAACTGTTAGAACTATGTCAGGAATGTTAGAGATTCGTGATTTCAGTTACATACACGAAAACTAGGTTACAGAATTTTTGTTCTCTGACAACGTTTTAAAAATTCAGAACAGTGACAGCATAATTCAATGGGCACAGACGTGCCGATCTCTGCCCAGGGGAGGGACTGTCATGTCGCCTGTGGTCCTTGGATTCCGCTTTCCTCCTGGGCGCTGGGCTGAGTCTGTCCTCAGGGAGGCCTCTACCGATGGGCGGAGGTTTTGTGTGTAAGAACATCAGTGAGAGAAGAGGCCCTGTCTGCTGGGCCCGGAGCGGCGTCGGCCACCCCCAGGGACGGAAACTGACGCCCGTGTTCTGCGCCTTGGATGGAGGCTGGAGTCCAGCCCGTGTGGCCCGCCTGGCTGCTCAGAGGGGCAGCCTTTTACAATCAGCACAAAGACACCTCCTGAGCGGAAGTCAGCTCTTCAGAAACAACCCCTCCATCCAGTTCTGTCCATTTCCCTGAACTCCGAGGACCCTCTCTCAAGGGGCTGGGGCTCCTAGTGAGAGGGTGGACCTGGAACCCTAGTTTCTTTGGAGCCCCCCGCAAATGGCTGCTGGGGCAGACCGCAGAAGGCCTTTCTGAGATTGTTCTGGCTGCAACGTGGCTTCTTAGAGCTTTTCACTCTCAGAAAAGGGAAGTCAAAACCTCTCACACCCGCCGGAGCAGAGGAGATAGGAAGGAGTCTGTCACCGAGAGTCCACCCAGAGGATGATGGGAGAGAAAAGGGTCTTTTTTTGGTCATTAATCCTCACCTGAGGATATTTTTTCCATTGATTTTTTTAGAGAGAGTGGAGAGGAGGGGAGAGGTAGAAAGGGGGAGAGAGAGGAAAAGAGAAATATTGATGAGAGAAAGGCATGATTGGTTTCCTCATGCCCTCACAGGGCCAGGGATGGAACCCACAACTTAGGTACATGCCCTTGACTGGAAATCAAACCCAAAACCCTTTGGTGTGTGAGCTGGTGCTTTAACCACTGAGCACACTGGCAGGGCGAAAAGGGTCTTTCCCCACACTTGGCCTTGATTCACTGACAGTGTAGGCTTATGGCCCATAAATGAGAAGACAAGTAATTTTTAAAATATCTCCTAGAACCTCAGCATCAAGGGCTAACACTGTATGATCATGCTTCCATATGATAGCTAATGCCTGTGCCTCTCAAGGACACCTATCCATCTCTTCTTGCACAGGTTTCCTGGCAGCGGAGCCCCAGGCAGGGATTGAGGTACCTGTAAGGGATGGGGATGGGGGCACAGGAAGGAGAAGGGGAAGGAATGGCCTGAGGTCAAATCTAACTGACTTAATCCCAGGTGTGTGTGTGTGTGTGTGTGTGTGTGTGTGTGTGTGTGTGTGTTTCAGGGGGGGGTGAGGAAGGGGTGCAGTGGGGAGGCCGCTGGAGCATAAGTTCCATCTTGGAGTTGTCTCTCCTTAAGACAAGGAGACTGGACCTTTGCAGCGACCTCACCTGCTCACGTTCCTCAGTCATTGGCTGGAAGCTGCAGGTCACCTGCCGGGCAAGGTGGCTCTAGCAGCAGTGGGCGGCGCTCCAGGAAGGAGAGGCAGCTGCGCCGTGAGCAGGCCACCTTCCCAGCAGCGGCAGGTGGCTGCACCGTCTTCCCGAGGGGCCCGGGCAGAGCCCCGGTGCAGGGCTGCTACAGTCTGCACACAAGACATGCAGAATGCTTCGTTCAAAACACATCCACCTTTTAAAAATTATGCCTGCATTTGCTCCGACATGCACTCAAAATCAAAATCAGTGAGTGGGTGGAGGGAGGGATATAAATGTAGTTAGGCTAGAATAAGGAAATGACCATGGTAGAACCCAGGTGGTGGGCACATGAGTGTCCACTTGACTATACATTTAAAATTTTCCTAATAAAATGTTGATTAAAAAAAGTCAAAGCAGGATTATATGTCCTGGGAGACAGCCTGCTTTTTTTAGCTTTGCTTTAAAATAGATTCAAAACGTCTTTCAGGCATTATTTATAAATATATATCATCACTTAAGAATGAAACATTTTATTTATTTGTTTACTTTTTTTTAAACAGAATTTTTATTTATTTATTTATTTTTTATTTTTATTGATTTTTTACAGAGAGGAAGGGAGAGGGATAGAGAGCTAGAAACGTCGATGAGAGAGAAACATCGACCAGCTGCCTCTTGCACACCCCCTACAGGGGATATGCCCGCAACCAATGTATATGCCCTTGACCGGAATCGAACCTGGGACCTTTCAGTCCACAGACCGACGCTCTACCGGCTGAGCCAAACCGGCTTCGGCAAGAATTAAACATTTTTAAAATGTAAATTTGTGTCCCTTTCTCCTCCTCCATCTCTGGTCCCCAGCCCGGAGTAGGCACCCAGTCCAGGGTATTGGATGCCTGTTTCTCTAAACTTTATGTGCAGATATGAGAGCCATAAAGAATTTAGGGAAGTCAATATTGAGTCAGAAATCCACGCACATGGCAAAAATCCCAGTGGCATTAGGGTTCACCGTGAAGAGTAAGTCTCACCTACCCATGACCCCTGTTCACACCTCCAATTCCCCTCTCCACATCTCCATCTCCTCCGGGGAGACCTATGACATACAAGCTTAAACGCATCCTTGGGAAAAGGACAACGTTGGCACACGGTTTTGCATATTGCTTTTCACAGAAACACATGATTGAGAGCTGATTCCGAACGAGTGAATAGATAGCCGCCGCGTGATCCGCACAGCTGTGTAATTCCCCAACGTGCGCTCCATCCTAATCCTCCGGCCCGCACCCGAGCCGTGCACAGCTCCAGGTTGTAGCGCAGGGGAGGGTGTGAACCTGTCCGGCTGGCAGGGTGCAGGCCCCCGAGTCAGCCCCAGGCCTCAGGCCCCTTGTTTCGGGAGCTCGGAGGCTACTTTCGGGCGCTCTGGGCTCCTGGGAGCCTGGCTCTGTCCTTGGGAAACGAGGAGTGAAGGGAGGACAGTTTTTCAGCATGCCAGAACCGGGGGACTGCTGTCACTCCCGCCTCCACATCCTCTATTCTCTGCTCAGACCGGGAAGCAGATCGGGGCTATTCACAGCACTGAGTGAGCACCAACTGTGTGCTTCCAATCCAAGAGTCTCATTCTCATCGTCCAGGCAAGGAACGAGGGGCCCAGAAAGGTGTGGCACCTTGCCCAAAGGCACACAGCTAGCAAAAGGCAGAGATGTGAGCGACAGGATCATCCCATGATGCTTGTTTGCTCAGAAAGGAAACGGAGAAATGGAGCGGGGGAGGAAACCGAACTTTGACCCAAAAAAGAGGTCTGGTCCAGCCAGCGTGGATCAGCAGTTGAGTGTTGACCTATGAACCAGGAGGTCACGATTCGATTCCCAGTTAGGGCACATGCAGGGTGTGGGCTTGATCCCACATTTGGGGTGTGCAGGAGGCAGCCAATCGATGATTCTCTCTCATAATTGAAGTTTCTATCTCCCTCTCCCTCTTTCTTCCTCTCTGAAATCAATAAAAATATATATATATTTTTTAAAAGGGTGGGGGGGAGGCTTAGAGACCACAGACCCTCTCGGCAGTGCGTGAGTGAGTGAGCCCCTGTTCACCTGCATTCGTCAGAGCCCCTGGCACCTCACTGTGCTCAGTGGCTGAGGAATTGCAGTGCTGCTGCCAGAGGGATGAGGGAGGGCAGTGGGCGCTCCTGTAACTGGCTGCCTTGGCTCCTCCCACAGTGCGGCTCCATGACAGCATCTCGGAGGAGGGGCACCACTACCTGATCTTCGACCTGTGAGTTCGGGCCCACCCTGGGATGCACAGGGCACGTCAGGGCGGCCGGAGCAAGGAGGGCTTCTCTGGGTCCCAAAGGCCCCAGACCGGGCTGAGCTCCCTCTTCCAATAGGGTTTCCTAGAAGTGATTGCAAGTGGGTGATCCCGAAACACCAGCACATTAGCTTTGTCTCTATCTGTGGCTACCGGTGATCCAAAGCTTCCTTTTGGAATAATGTTAAAGTTTTGAACGTCAGTCGATTGAGTGGAAAACCATAATTAAATGAGAGGGCTGGTGGTTCCCGGGCTGCCAGAGGCTCTGTGATGACACTGGGTTCGTCCGTTAAAAAAACCCAACAGCCCTGGAGGTGTTGGTCATGGGGGAGAGTGTGCGTGTGGCAGGGACAGCGGTGTGTGGGAAACCTCTGTGCCTTCCTCTCAGCTTTGCTGCGAACCTAAGTCGACTCTAAAAATAAAGTCTATTAAACAGCAAAATCGAGACCCGGCCCTCGGGCTTCTAGGAACCTAATGAATCCTAGTGATGTGTTCTGAGGGTCCCACCCCAGCTCCCACCTGGGCTTGGCCGGGGAAGAGCCAGGGCTGGAGGGAGGGAAGGCAGAGGAAGTGTGGGCTGGAAGCCAGGAAGGGGGTGGAGCGGGGGACATCCCTGTGAGCCCCTCCTTTGAGGCTGAGGTTCTGAGGTGCCCAGGCCCCGCCCTTAGCTCCCTGGAGATTCTCCCAGCAGAGGCGGCACCTGGGGCCTCTGTGGGAGGGTGACTGAGCCTGTGTCCCCAGGGTCACCGGCGGGGAGCTGTTTGAGGACATCGTGGCCCGGGAGTACTACAGTGAGGCTGACGCCAGGTGAGTTCCCCAGGTGGCCTGGCAGGGCATCTCGCCTGCCAGCTTCCCAGGGGAGGCCTGCCTTCCCATGTGACGCCTGCCTCTCTCTCCCCAGCCACTGCATCCAGCAGATCCTGGAGGCCGTGCTGCACTGCCACCAGATGGGGGTGGTGCACCGGGACCTGAAGGTGAGCCGCCAGCCCGAGGGGGCAGCTCCCCAGGGACTGCCCCTCCTCCCCCTGACCTTCCCTCCACCTGCAGAGCCACCAGTGGTGTCAGGTCCCCTTGTTGGGCTGGAGGGAGGCTATTCCCCTCACTGTTCAGATAAGGAAACTGGGCCTAGGGAGGGGGAACATCTGGGCTAGGGACCCAGGCCTCCCGAATCGCAGCCCTGCGTGCTTTGTGCCAAGCAGGTGAGACACGGTTAGAATGCCAAGCCTGGCTGTGGTCTGGTCCAAATCCCAGCTGGGACACTTTCTAGCTTCACAGTGTCAGCTTCTTTATAGTGGGTGTTGCCATAGCAACCTCTGCACAGGTTGGTGAGAATGTCAAAGGAGACAGCACAGTGCCTGGTACACAGATGCGGTTACTCTTGTTTCCAGGTCTCTGGCGGCCAGGGGCAAGGGGAGAATGAAAAGGGTCCTGGGGCCCTCGGGTCCTCTCTCTTCCCACCTGGAGAAGGAGATGGACAGGACAAGCCGATGGGACAGGGGTGGCATCAGCGCACGGTCTTGCTGGGTCAGCACAGACTTCACAGCGCTCCTCTGCTGGGCCTCGTGGCCTCAGCAGCCGGTAGCTCATAGCATCACTCCTTTGCAGAGCAGGAAACTAGGCCTAAAGCGTCCCAGGGATTTGCCTGAGAACATGCAGTTCAGTTGTGTCTGAGCTAAGACCTGGGTGGTCTGAGGCCAAAAACCACTCAATCCAGCTCCTGCTTGTGCAGTAGCCCCTTGAGACAACCCTCTGGGTCCCCATCAAACTTCTGCTTTTTGGTCCTCAGTGACTACAAATTCACTTCTTACAGGGTAGCCCCTGTACTGTTGGGAAATGCTCCTTCATTCTTCCCTGCTATGGGGGTTTCCCCAGTTCTACCCTTTGGGGCCACACACTTCAAGCCTCCAGCTCAGAGCAGCCCTGGAGGCACTTGGGTGGCTTTGTGGTGGCTCCTGAGTGATCCACAGGCTGTTCCCCATTCCCACTCAGGATAGGACTTCCAGGCCCTTCTCACCCAGGGCACCCTCCTTGGGCACCCTCTAGTCAGGCCTGGTTCCTCTTTGGGCTGAAATGCCCTGAGCAGAACCCCTGCCTTCCTCTGACTGCCATGAGTAGTCCACGGCTCCTCACCCGAACGCAGGTGAGCTCCCTATGGCTCAGTCTAGACTCATAGGCAGGAAGGTCTCTGGCCAGACTGCAGGGTGGCTCTCCCCGAAGGCCTGTTCCCATTATAGCTGCGGCCCCTGCACGGGCGGAGGGGGCAGGAGAGGCAGCACAAATTTAGGCCACTCTGGATGGAATAATTAGCGGCACATTCATCAAATCAGGGCAGGACGGCTACTGAGACCCAGGACACGTTGGGAACGCAGTCCCCAGAGGACAAAAGGGGCCGTAAGGAGCTATATTTGTTTGTGGCCCATCTCGCTCTGGGCAATGAAAGGTCAGAGGTGGGGCCCTCTTGGAAATCCAAGTGGCGAAGTGGTCCGAGGAAGCCAGCTGTCCCCAGAGACTTGGCGCCCCAGCCCCTCCCCAGGCAGAAAATGAGTTCGGGTGCCTGTCAGGCACTTGCTGTTGCCACTGTGAAGTCCTCAACGTGAATGATGGAAACTCATTCGTCTGCCACCCAATGATAGGCACTATCCTCCTGTTCTGGGAGGTAAACTAAAGCTGAGAGAGGTGAAATAATTTATCCAAATCCCACAGCTGGGGTCAGAAGCTAGGGCTATCTTAACTGGGAAGTCCACACTCTTACCTTCTCTCCGTCCTAATGAGGGCGATTTCCTGTCTTCTAGACCCAGCAGGAGACAGCAGCCTCAACTCCCCAGAGGCCAGGAGGCATGTCTGAGGCCCCCATGACCTCCATTCCCCATCCCTGTCGCTCAGCTTAGAGTAGCTAGGGGCATGGCTTGGGAACCAGACTGTGCTGTGATTCTGCATCTGTCTCTTATCAGCTCTGTGATCTCTGTCAAGTCACTTTACCTCTCTGAGCCTCAGTTTCCTCCTCTTTCTTCATATGACAAATGCTGACTGCGTGCTTGGTATGTGCGGGCCTCTGTCTTAGGTGCTGGCAATGCAGTGGTGGACAAGACAGATAATTCACATACCAGAGGGCGACAGGTCATGTACAAGCACATAGGCAGATGGGGGAAACACCGTTTCCCTGAAAATAAGACAGTGTCTTATATTAATTTTTGCTCCCAAAGATGCGCTAGGTCTTATTTTCAGGGGATATCTTATTTTTCCATGAAAAAGAATACGGTACACATTTATTGTTAAATGAAAATAAAGGAAATTTATTACCTGTATATGGTACAGTAGTACGGTAGTTGTTAACACAAACCAGACAAACTGTGAATCCTACAGTATCAAGAATTTACTCATTTATTCAATGACAATCATGTCATCATCTTCTGGAACACCATCATATAACAATACAATTCCTGAATTTCTTGGTGAATTTCTTGTGACTCCATTTCTTTCAGAATCAGTGGACCAAATCTCTCATGTTTAGCCTAGGGGGGCCTTATTTTCGGGGGGATGCCTTATATTTCACTCAGAAGGAAACCTGGAAGTAGGTCTTATTTTCGGAGGATGTCTTATTTTCAAGGAAACACGGCATTACAAATCACGGTGAAATCTGTGAAGGTAACAACAAGAAGCTAAGAGAGGAGATACCTGGGTGCTCTTAGGGTAGTCATGGAGGGCTTCTTGGAAGGGGTGGCATGAGGGTGAGAGCCAGATGAAGAGTAGAGGCCAGCACCGTGAAGCTCATAGGGAGGACAAACGAGGCAGGGGGAACAGGAAGTACAAAGGCCCTGAGGTGAGAACTAACATGACTGTTTCAGGGGCTATAAGAATGGGGATAATTATGCCTACTCCAAAGAGTTGCTGAGATGATAAATGAGGTTATGTGTGTAAAGCCCTTAGCCTAGTGGCTGGCACATTGTAGGAACACAGTAGATGTTGCTTCTTCTTTCTTACTGTGGTGGTGCCTGTCCCCTCACCTCAGCCCCAGATCCAGACCCTGAGGGAGGGAGAGGAAGGAGGGGGTGGCTGGTGGAGGAAGATTCTTTCTGTTGCAGAAGACTTGCAGTGGGGTAGTCCTCTCTCTGGGGACTAAACTCAGGGTCCTGGGGTTGGAGCTGGAGGCAGGGGCAGCGTGCCTCTGCTCGCCTGTAAGCCGAGGCCCCTGGTGATGAGGCTCTGGACCTGCTCACTGTCCTCTGGCCCTCTCCTCCCCACCTTTCCCTCTTCTCTCTGGACCTGGGAAGCCGGAGAACCTGCTGCTGGCCTCCAAGCTCAAGGGCGCTGCGGTGAAACTGGCAGACTTTGGCCTGGCCATAGAGGTGGAGGGGGAGCAGCAGGCATGGTTCGGTGAGTGGGGGCAGGGGGGTTGGGGGTCAGCCTGGTGTTGACATGTTGACCTCTAGGGACCTCCGCCAGAACAGGGGCGGGTTGGAGAAGGTGTTAGGCCAGCCCGGGCTCAGGTAGCAGAGTTAGAGGTCCCTCCTCACACAGCCTCTGGGTTGGTGGGTAGGGCAGGTGCAGGGACATGGTTATCAAACAGAACACAGCTTCTTCACATGCACATAGACCTACACTGTTGGCTGGAGGCTTCTATGGGTTTCCCCCACATCCTGGATGCTGGAGACTATTATCCCGATGTTACAGATGAGGAACAGAGGCTAAGAAACCTGGAAAAGGTCAAAGGTGATTAAAAGGGGCAGAGCAAGGTTATAAGCTCAGAGGATGCAGCATGCTCTGAGATTTGGGCATAATTGAGTCTTTCCCGCTCTGCGGGGACGCTTTTTAGTGGGCAGTCTTGACCAGTGGTTAAGAGCCAGAGCTCTGGGTTCCAGTTCCGCCTCTGCTACAGATGGGGCGTGTGATTGGGCCTCATGGCACCTCTCCCAGCCTGTTTTTCTCATCTGTAAAATGGGGGCAATGATAGAATGTTCCTCAGGGTTGTGTGAGGGTTAAATGTGATCAGCATAAAAAGTGCTCAGCTCAATAAATAGGAACACACTCAATAAATTCTTGTGATCACTGTTGGAGTACTTGGGGTGTCCATTATTTCAATCGATCCTTCCAACAATGCTGGGAGGTATTTAAGGGGCCACTGGTCATAAGACACAGGAGTCATCCTGTACATCCTGCCTTAGGTATTTAAAACAGGAATACCTAAGCCTTCATTTGTCAGATGAGGAAAAGGAAGCCTAAAAAAGAGACCTCCCCAAGGGATGGAGGGTAAAGCCCGTGAGGGACAGCCTCCTGCCATCCCAGGACCAGCTCCTCAAAGAGGTAGAGCCAGGGTTCATTCAGCTCAGCATGGGGCTGACTGAAAAGGACATTTTGTCTTGAGTGTCCCCAGGAATTGGTTGGTAGTGGCTGCTGGGAAGATTTGCTAGAAGTTCATGGGGCTGAGTCGGGACCCCATGGGAAGGGCACTGGGTTTGGTCAAAGTCTTCTGCCGTAGGCTCTGGAGTGGGGGTGGTGCCCAGTGTACTTTGTACTTGTGCCCCCTGGTCTAGAGGCCTTGCCCGCCCCATCTGAGGGCAGGAGGTGCTTCTGCCATCTCCAGGGCAGCTCTCACCCCTCCTCCAGCAGGACCTTGCTTTGGTTTACTTATTGCCACCCTCGGTGTGTGTCTGCCTGTCTGTGTGTCTGGGAGCAGGGTTTGCCGGGACGCCTGGATACCTCTCTCCAGAAGTGCTGCGGAAGGACCCGTACGGGAAGCCCGTGGACCTGTGGGCCTGTGGTGAGTCCTTCCAAAGGCACCTCTGGTGTCCTCTCTCCCTGTTCCCATCACTCCCCTCCCCATCGCTTCTCCTCACAAGGGCTGACGTTCCCCTCGGCGCTTTCTCTCCCCAGGAGTCATCCTGTACATCCTGCTCGTGGGCTACCCCCCGTTCTGGGATGAGGACCAGCACCGCCTGTACCAGCAGATCAAAGCCGGCGCCTATGATGTGAGTCTCACTCTTCTCTCCAGCCTCCCTGCCGTACCCTGAGCCCCTTCCAGAGAAAGCCAACGGCTGGTGAGGTCAGGACCCAAGGATGCCCCTCTCCTGCCCTCCAGTCTATCTGGGTCTCCTTGCCACTCTCTAGTTGTGGGCCAGGGGTGAATGACAGGCGGAGTCGAGGGCTGATTGAGGCCAGGCGATGAGCTGCCTGTGTCTTATGACCAGTGGCCCCTTAAGAGGTGGGCTCCAGATGGCGAAGCAGCAGCAAAATGAGGCAAGAGGTTGGGGAGGGGGAGGGGGGGAGTAGGAGTGGGGGCAGATCCTAGAGCCAAGTTCTCTTTCTCTCTCTAGATATAGATTTAGATAGATAGATAGATGATAGATAGATCTATACACACACAAATGATAATAACTGACATTTATATAGCATTCTTCTAATGCTTTCTATGTATTATTATAGTTAGTCCTCACACAAATCTATGGCATAGGTACTGTTATTGTCTTTGTTTTACAATAACAGTGAAGTACTGCGAGGTTCAATAACTGCTCAGCACATACAGCTAAGAGATGGTAGAGCTGGGATTTCAACTCAGGCAGTCTGGCTCTAGTGTCTAAGCTTCTGACTACAAACTATACTGCTCTTTGACATGGCTGGTTTCTATTAAGCTATGTGCCATGTGTTTAATACCATACTTAACCCTCACAGCACCTCCAGGTCACATGACTCGCCCAAGGTCACTCAGCACAGGCAGCAGCCTTGAGCCCAGCCTTGTGATCCTGAAGCCTGGGCTCTCACCGCAGGCCTGCTGCTTTCCAGATAAGGCACATCCTCAGAACAGCAGAGGGAAGCCCCCTTTTCCTAGGCCCCTCATTCTCATTTCTCCTGGGTCAGGGCGTCCTGCCCCAAGTCCTCCTGGTTATGGATGCCCAAGTGGATGGGCAGTAGAACCCCTGCCTGCTCCCCTGCCAGTCAGGGGCTGGGGGATCGCAGGGGTGGCCTGGGGTAGGCTGGGCAAACCTGGCCCCTCTGCCCCTTTCAGTTCCCATCACCAGAGTGGGACACCGTTACTCCAGAAGCCAAGGATCTCATCAATAAGATGCTGACCATCAACCCGTCCAAACGCATCACGGCCGCCGAGGCCCTCAAGCACCCCTGGATCTCGGTGAGCCTTCCTCAGCAAGACCCTTCCCAGGACCCACCTAGACCTCAGGGTTACGGCCTTCATGAAGTCCTGTCCCTGTCCCTGTCCCTGTCCCTGGGGTGAGGGGCTTTATCCAAGAGACACTGACCCTGCTGTGATTCCCAGGGGAAATTCCAATTGGAGATTGGCATCACGACGGTGTGTATTGGCACTGAATGTCTGGTGCACCAAATGCTAAGTTCCTGAAAGGTTTACCAACATCCCCTAGAACAGTGGTCGGCAAACTGCAGCTCGCGAGCCACATGCGGCTCTTTGGGCCCTTGAGTGAGGCTCTTCCACAATAACCACAGCCTGAGCAAATCTATTTTGAAGAAGTGGCATTAGAAGAAGTTTAAGTTTAAAAATTTGGTTCTCAAAAGAAATGTCAATTGTTGTACTGTTGATATTTGGCTCAGTTGACTAATGAGTTTGCCAACCACTGCCCTAGAACAAAGAATTATTCCCTCAACATGGCCAACCACAACCATAGGACGCCCTGCTGAGGGGCCCTTGGGTAGGTCTGCCTTCTACTCACAGACCTCTTCCCTGATCCCTCCAGCACCGGTCCACCGTGGCCTCCTGCATGCACAGACAGGAGACCGTGGACTGCCTGAAGAAGTTCAACGCCAGGAGAAAACTGAAGGTAACGGGTCCTCACCCTCCAGGCCCCCAGTCATGGGAGTAGCGTGGCCTTGGTCTCCACCATGCCCAGGAGACAACTCACTGTCCTTTCCTTCACTGAGTCAACAAACGTTTATTGAACTCCTGCTGTCTGGGTAGGGTGGTGAGCAGTGGAGACAGACACATAACCAGGACATGATGGGCCGTGGTGAGTGCTGTGATTACACGCCCCCAGGCTGTGGGTGTACACAGCAGGGCCATGAGCCAGGTCTAGAGGGACCAGGGAAGGCTCCAGGAGGCTGTCCTGGGCAAGTAGCATACAAGCTGAGGCCCCAAAGGAGAAGCAGGCATCGCAGGGTAGTGTCAGAGTGGGCAGGTACTTCTGACAGAGAGAAAAGCCTGTGGAAAAGGGAACAAGACTTGAGCTTGATCCCTTAGGGCACATGTGTCAAACACAAGGCCCGAGGGCCAAATCCGCCCCGCCAGGCCTTGCAATGTGGCCCGCACCGCGCTGTCATCACTGCACTCCGCTGCATTTCCATCACAATGACAGTTTATGACTGTTCAGTAAACCATTCGGCCCGCAATTTAGGCTGGATTTTAGATTTTGGCCCCTTCTCTGATTGAGTTCGACACCCCTACCTTAGGGCATTGTTTCCCAAACTTTTGACATATGTGTACCCCTTCTATAATTTTCGTAACGCTGAGTACCCCTCGTACTCATGAGCACATAGAATTAGGCGCAGCTAAGCACAGTGCAGTGCATATCCCCACCAAACTCCTGTGCAACATGTACCCCCATCAAATTCTTCCCGTACCCCTGGGGGTACGCATACCGCACTTTGGGAAACACTGCCTTAGGGGGACTGCAGTGTTTCAGCAGAGGTTTCAGAAGTGACATGTGACTAGGAAGGAGGCCATGATGGGGGTGAGGAATGGCCCAGAGACCTGGATAACGGTCGTGACCCTAAGGAAATTACATGGAGACCTAGGTGGGCCCTGAGCTGCAGCCTCTCAGCAGGTCCTGTGTGTTCTCTGGGCCATGACAGCTCCTGGCCTAGACCTTGCCAGGGACCCCATGAGCAGGCAGAAAAAGCGACCGAGGGGTCCCCATCTGGTCGGAAGAGAGAGAAGCCATCAGCATGCCGAGTGACAGATACTGAGGCCCCGGCTCATTGGAACCTTCTCACCAACTGCTCCCGAGCTTGGCACGGAGGCTCAGGATGGGGACCTGGGCCAAGGGTGGTGGCCAGCATGATGCCAGGAAAACGGAGTACTACCCCTAGCCCCTAGGGGGTGCTGTCACAGAAGAAGTCTCGAAGAGTCAGAATCAGGGGGAAAACCATGGGCTGTCGGACTCGGAGTGTCCAAATCAGAGAGCGTCAGACTAGAAGGGCCACTGCCCCCAGCCCCCAGCCCCCTTGTTGACAGAAAGGGCCTTTTCTGCATTAACTTTCCAGGGTCTCAAGCCTAGGGATGTGCAGGTACTAGAGTGAGGTGCTGAGTGCCCCGGAGCGGAGGGCAGACACGGGAAGGGCCCTGGGGTGCAGGGTCTCCTGTCCTTGCCCAGGCAGGACACCTCCTTGGCCTTCAGCAGCCCCCAGACAGGTGTCCCCGGGCCCATGCACCAGCTCTGGCCAGGCCGGTGGGACCTATTAATATCTGCGTCTAGAATGGCCCTGTCCCTGGAGCGGAGCCAGCTAAGGTGGAGTTCACCCTGATTTCTCCAGTGAGGTGGGGGTGGCCCCTGGGCTGTGGCATGGGGGACTGATGCGGGGCAGAGGCTTTGGCTTTGTGTATGAGTGGAGCACCTGACTCTCCTTCGCCACTCATCACCCATCTCTCTGTCTCTCCTCTCCCCACTCACCTCCGGCTTCTCTCCCCACCACACCCTCTCCTCTCACCTGTGCAGGGAGCCATCCTCACCACGATGCTGGCCACCAGGAACTTCTCTGGTAGGTGGTAGGACCTCAAAGCCCCAACAAACACATCCTGCAGGAGGTGGGGACATTGCCACATCGGATACCTAGGTACCCTCCGGCCCAGGGGCCTGGAAGAGCGGGGGCACAGAGGACCCCGTGACTGGGGGCTTTGCTCACGTGATGCAAACCTGCACCCAGAAGTGGAGAAGGGTCAGAGGTTGGCAAGCTAAACGGGCCCATGAGGAAGGAAAGGGTCAGGGGTTCAGTCTGTGTTTCCTGCCTCACAGGAGTGCTGGGGTTCTCAGAATGAGCCAGCCAGAGGGAAGGCCTCTCAAATGTGGGTCCAGGTCCAGGTGGGACTGAGCAGTATTCCTGTTCCCTGTGGTTACAGAGCCCAGTGAGGGCCATCGCCATCCCTGCTTTCTGAAGGAGGAAGCTGAAGCTGGGGGTGGGAGATGGGGGGTAGAGGAGAAGATGTGGTAGGCCCAGGTGGCATCGCTAGGGGGAGGCAGAGCCTGTGATCAGCGCAGGTTTGACCAACCTCAGTGCCAGCGCCCTTAGCCAGGGCAGGAGCCTTCTGCCTTGGCCAGAGCCAGGTTGGTTAGGGCAGGGAATGCCCAATGACCTGTGGCATGTGGTCCCCGAAGAGAGAAGGGGAAGGGATTAGTGTCAGGGTTTAACAAGAGGCTCCCCCTGGCACACTGGAGAGTTCCAGGACCAGCGCTGCCAGAGGCTTCTCTCCGGGGAGCCCGGAGGCTGAGTGGGCAGCTAAGCAGATATGGCAAAGCTCACCCGAGGGGCCCTCTGCCTGGGGCTGCAGCCAGCCTGAGAAGGTGGCTGTGGTCACGTGGCTGGCCCCGCAGCAAGGGGCCGACTCTGGGCGGCTACAGCCCAGGCCTCGTGAGAGGGACCCCCTGCCCATTTAGCGAGCTGGGAGAATGAGACCCAGCGTGGGAAAACCCTGGGACTTCAGATCTGAGCTTTCGCCACTGCCTGAACTGCCTTCCCATTCTTTCCCCAGACAAGGATCCTGCGCTCCTCACACTGAAACATGAGCCACCCAGACAGAGTCTTTTTTTAACAACTGAAGTGCCCCTAGAGAACTCTAATCCAGAACTTAAAAGATGGTGCCCAGGGGTTACTTCCAATCTCTAGAAGTGCTTGCAGGGGGGTGGGGGTCGGGGAGTGGGACAGTGGTGTTTCAAAAATTTTTGGAAAGTGTTTCCAGCACTTAAATATCAGGAGATTTCCTGGAAAAGCCCAGATCTCTGTCTTCTCTTGAAAATAGAATATATGGCCTCACAGAACCCCCCCCCCCCCCCCCCCCCCACACACACACACACATACACACACAGTTTTGCCATAGTGGCTGGATCTGAGAGGGCCCCCTGGAGGCTGGAGGGGCAAGCACTCCTGGCCTCTGAGCAGCCTGGTTCAGCCCACAAGGCCTGTGGGGGAGGGACAGCCATTCCTTTTGGCTTCGGATCCAGAGGTACCCACTTACTTACAAGAGGGAAACTTTGAACGGGAGCCCGGTAGGGCTCATTGGAAATGTGAGGGTGATTGGGAAGCTGGACAGATCAGGAGCCCCCTCCTTCAAAGCCTCTGGGGCTGCCACATCTTGTACGCCCCTTGTCGCCAGCGCACTCTGCAGGCCGCCAGGAGAAGTGCAAGTGGCGCCATTTATTGAGCATCTACTGCACAGAGGCCAAGCGCTGTGCTGAGTAAGCACTTTAGAGACACCCCCATCTCATTTAACACAAAGCATTTGCTTGAGGTCTGAGCAGCTGGATGTCAAGCTGGGCACTCATGCCACTTCCTGTCTGATGCCCTCCCTTCCCACAGGCTCTGGCCAGGAGATGAGGGGAGGGAAAGGGGAATGACAAAAGTGGAACCTCCCTGAGATCTGTTGCTCTGCTTTTCCGGGGGGGGCGCGGGGGGGCAGCGCCAACCCCAGCCTGGAGCTCTGGCGTTTGAGGGGGGAGGGGGAGCTCCGCCAGGATGGGTGCTCTGACAGGGTTGGGCCCCACAAGGGGGCATCTGCTTCTTGTCACTGGCAAAACACGGCTCGCAGCTGTCCAGCGTGAGTAGGCAGGGCTGACACATGACCTCTGCAGCAGCATGGGGCTAAAATTAGAGCAGGCTGGGCTGGGGAGAGAGCTTCCTGATCCGGCCGGGCAGCCGGGCCTCCGGGTTGGCCACACCACACGGGTGGTGACCGGGATCCAGAGGGAATCCCCGGGCTCACACAGCTACTCACAGCCCTGGGACGCACTGGATACCTTCCCCAACCTCAACCCATGGGGCTGGGGGGTCACACTTGCTATTGCTGAGAACTGTGGGAGCCCGGGCCCACTTGGTGGGCCACTGGCAGTCCCAGGCTCCGGAGGAGGGAGGAGAAGCGGGAGGAGGTCTCCCCAGATCGCTGAGCCGGCTCCCTGCCCTCTGGCTGCCCGTGGATGCTGCTCTTCCTCGCACTCTGGGCCCTGGTGCCCTGCCTGGTGTTGGTAACCCTCTACGTTCTCTCCTCCATAGGAGGGAAGAGTGGAGGGAACAAGAAGAATGATGGTGTAAAGGTAAGCCCCCTGGGAGCCACCAGGGCCTGCCCTGGCAGCGTTTCCTTCAAGAAGGCCTGGCTTTCTGGCCTGGCGAGGACCCAGGCCCTGCTGGTGGCGTTCTGGGCAGATGTGGTCTCTCCGGCAGCCGGGCCATCTCAGACCCAGAGACCTGGGCTTCGGTGCCTACCTCTCACCAGGATCAGGGGAGGAAGCCGGGGAGGGAGCGGGAGCGGGGGAGGGTTGAAAGCTGGTGGGAGATGCAGATGGCCTGGGGTGGGAGTGGGCACAAGGAACTGGGCTGTCAGAAGGAGGTTTCTGGGGTTCTCTGGGGCTGGAGGACTGGTGAGCAGGAGGTACAAGGAAGGGATAGAGATGACCATAAGAAAACTTCCCTTTTTCCGAGTATGGGCTGGCAGGAATGGATCCCTGACCCAATACACCCCAGCCCAAAAGGATGGACAGCAATTCCTTTCCACTTTGGGGTCCAGAGGTGCTCTCTTCCCCTGAAGACCTGCTGGTTCAATGCTAAGCATCCCCTAGGCCTGCCCTGTATCCTCCCTCCCAGTCCTGAAGCCCGAGCTACTTCCACACACACACACCCCTGACCCCGCTCCCCTCCTCTCTCTTCTCCCTCTTTCTCTGGGGCCTGGTCCCACTCTCTGCAGCCCCCTTCTGCCTGCCACTGGCTTTCCTTGTGGGTTCTCCTTTCTTGAGACCCTGCCTTTCTCTGGGCTCAGAGCCCTGCCTGGCCAGGGCCCCAGGGCTGGGCTGTGCCCAGGACACTGGAAGGTGTGGGACGTTGTCCAAACACAGCCACCAGGTGGGCTGGTGGCTCCGTGGCTTCATTTGTAGCGGCATTTACAGTCTCGGGTCGCGGGCTTTGGTCTGTCACGGTTACATGGGAGGGATCTGGGCTGGCTCTCGGCGGCCAGGGTTTGGGCCTCCCCTCTGCTCTTAGCCCTCTGCAGGCTTGAGTTTTCCCGTAGGTACAATGGGCAGGTGGAAGGGTGTGGACTCCATGATTTCTAGGATTTCAGCTCTAAAAACACACCAACAAACAAACCTGACAAAACCCTGTCTAATCACTCTCCCTCTCGTCTTGGGTACTGGAGGAATAGCTAAGTGTTTGGTTAGCCGCTGAAGTCTGTGGTTTTCAAACTGAAGTCCTTGGAGCGCAAATGTCCCGGGGAAGCATCTCCAGCAGCAGATGGGGGTGAGATTAGAAGCGGCAAGCAGAGAAGGTTCTGGGCTTCCCATGCCCACTTCAGCCAGAACGGCTCCATGTCACAGCCAGCACCGTGGTGAAGAGATCCTGGGCGGACTTAGCAGCCTCGGACCTTGGCTGGTTATTTGAATCCCCGGAGCCCGTGTTTCCTCGTTCAAGCAAAGAGGGTCAAGGGGTGTCCACCTCGCAGCGCGGCTTGTGAGGATGAGCCAAGATCACGTGAGTCGAGGGCTTAGCAAGGTGCAGGATGTGAGACACATGTTCATGAGGTGCCAGCCGGTGTGTTTATCTTTTTATATCTGTTTTTTTTTGCATTGGACTTCTGGCTTAAGATTTGTCTTGAAAACAAAGTTTGCTCAAGAGAGTATTTGGTAATCCACAGAGCTAAAGCTGACACAGTTTCTACAGTTGACATGCACACATCCCGAGTCCTGCAGTGGGGCTCAGGATTGAGTTTTGGCTCGCCTGCTGTTTGACTTGCCATTTGAAAGGGTAATGGGGGGATGTACCACGTGGGGTGGCCGGTTTGGAACCCCTGGAACTCTCTTTGGCCCTGATTGGTAGACGCTGGGGCACGGGGTTCCCCGGGGAAAATTTTATTTGGGAGATATGGGGCAGAGGCCACAGGGGCTGGTATGCTGTGGCCCAGGTCAGTGGAGGAGGCGGCGGCAGAGGGAGGGCTGTCCCGGTCTGCTTGGCTTGTGGTGTGGCCCTGGCAAAGCCTAACCAGAGCCGCTGCTGTGAGGTCAAGGCCTCCCTCAGGCAGGGTCTTGGGACAAAGCTCTGGTCTGGCTCTTCTCCGGCAAGGCCAGGAGGCGGAGCCTGTCCGAGGGCAAGGCCACGGCATAGTGAGGCCCTCGCTCACTAGTCACAGCGGATGCACTGAGGGAAGTGCCCCTCCTTCCGGCAGCTACGACAGAGACTTCTCAGGGCGGCCTGGGTGGGTGAACAGAAGCTCAAAGGCTATTCCTGGCCCGGCCGTCTCTCTGTAGTGCAGCCTCCTTCCCCTCCAGGGGGTGGGCCGAGGGGAAGTCCAGCCCAGAACTCAGGGCGCCCTGCCTGCCACATGCCACTCTGGGGTCCAGTCATGTTTTCAACGTGAGTGAAACTGGCTCTCGTCAAAAAGCCAAGGGTTTGAATCTGAGTCCCTCCCTTGGGGACCAGGGTCATCGCTTCCGTCATCTGTGCAAAGGAGGAATGGCAATGGAGTCATCCTGTGCGTCTTCAACTGACACATGTTCAGCCAAAGTGAGGAAACATAGATTTCCTACAGCCAAACACCATCCGGGCTTCGCTGAGGAGGCAGGCACTGGTCCTGCCCCGGGAGGACCGCTGGCCAGTTGGAGTTAGAGATACGGGGCAGCACTGTACTGCAAGGGCTTTCAGTGGCTCTTGAGGCTAATTTCGAACATACTTCTCCTTTCCATCATCCTTGCTAACCTTAGAACCATGCTTTTTTCCAGGTGGTTCTAAGAGATGTGACTCTACTTTTGGTGAAAGATTCTTGTAAAATAAATGCTGGCATGCTGGTCAGTGTGGGACTATTGTTAGTATCGTCATTTGTGACTCAGGGAAATTGAGTCTTCCCATTATCAAGAAGCGATGCCCCCCCCCTCCCCCCAAATCACCCCAAGGCCTCCACTGCTATGAGGAGGGGCCGCCTGCTCCCACCCTCAATCCCACTCACTGCCCCTGTTGGTGTCCCATCCGTGCCGTTGTGACTTCTCTCTCCCATGTCCCATCCTGTCACTGTACGTCCGAATCTGATGCGGTCTCTGCTCTGTGTTCCCTCCTCGTGTCCCGCCTGGAACCTCCTGGCCCCCTGGGCCAGTCCTCAGGTTTCTGCTGTCAGCCAAGCTGAGAGGGCCTGTCCCTTCCCCCAAACACTGTGCCTGGCTTGGCTCCATCCGGGAGTGAGGCTGACTCTAGGAGGAGAGGAGAGGAAGAGAGGGAAAAGAATGGCAGAGAAGAGGAAAGCAGAAGAGAGGAGAGGAGAGGAGAGGAGGAGAGGAGAGGAGAGGAGAGGAGAAGAAGGGAGGGGAAAGGAGAGAAGATGAGAGAAGAGGAGAGGAAAGGAGGAGAAAGGAGAGGAGAGAAGAGGAGAGGAGAGGAGAGGAGAGGAGAGGAGAGGAGAGGAGAGGAGAAGAGGAGAGGAGAAGGAGGGGAAAGGAGGAAGCTGAGAGAAAGAAGAAGGTAGGAGAGCGAGGAGAAAGGAGAGAGAGCTCTTGCTTAGCTTCTCTTCGGATTCTCTCCTGAGAGGAGAGGAGAGGGAGAGGAGAGGAGAGGAGAGGAAGGGCTGTCTGAAGGCTGCTGGCTTTGGAAGTCACACTGTCCGGCCCAGCTGGAGCAGGTGCAGGGGCTGTGTCTGGCGAGCCACCCCTGTCGTGTCTGCAGAGGCCCTGGAGAGAGAGCACAGGATCTCAGCCCAGAATTAGACCTGAAGACCCTCAGAATATTGTGTTTCTCCCTGGTGGACCCACCCTAAGGGCATCTCCAATCTCTCCTCTGCTCCCCCCCACCCCCTTCAGTGCAGCAAGGAGAGCAGCCTCGGGTGTGGATGGTTTGGGAAGGGTAAACCTTAGAAGAGCAGCCAGGCTGTGGGTGCCTGAGGCCCAGACAGAGGAGAGAGCAGCACTCAGGGGTTCTGGCCTCTGCTCTGCTGACGGCAGCTGAGAGACCTCGGGCAGATTACTGCCCGTCTTTGGGCCCCAGCTTCTTCTCTGTGCAATTCAAGTGTCAGTCTTGAGCTGCAACCCTCTGCATGAGTCTTTAAGACTCTTGGCTTAGAGCTGAGAGAAGAAGATAATCTACCTTTGTCCGTTCTCTTTCCTTCCCTTGCTTCCGCAGCCAGTAATACAGGGAAAGCTACAAACTCCCTCCAAAGCTAGCGTGGGCTGAATGGCAGGACCCGACGGCTCAAATGTCTGGCTGTGCCTTGGGTTCTCTCTCAGCATAAAGGAGCTGGCTAGGCCAGGCACTGGGAAGCTGTGAACACAAGCGGAAGTCCAAAGGCCAGTTAGAGGACTGGTTCCCGCACTTGGCCCTGCTCTGGGATCTCCTGAAGATACTGTTTTAAACGGAAATCCCAAGACCCCACCCTAGACTGAGTTCCCACACTCCTCGAAGGGGCCTGGTTATATGAGTCTAGGACGCTTGGGGTCCTTTCAGCAGGGATGCATGGGAGTCTAGGAGAAACTGGACCTCACCCCCCCCCCCTTCCCCGACCCGAGCACCCCTTTGTCCTTCAAGAGCTTTAGATTCTGGAGGCCTTAGGCAACTGGCATTGGAGAACCAGGGTTGACTTCCCCCCAGCGGAGCTTGGCTTAGAGGGAGCCCTGGTCCAGGGGAGGGTTGGCCTGGAGCTTGGTGATTAGACTGTGAGACCCAGCAGCTGTGCATGAGGCCCCAGAACTTTAGGCCGAGAGAGGACTGGTCCCACCAGGTGAGCTGCTGCTGGTGGCCCTGATTCCTTGCCCCCATGCCCTGAGGCCCATCCTCCTTCCGAACCTGCCCTGTCGTCCATTCCTCTGCTCTCTGCCGTTTTCATGCTGTGTCTTTTCCTGTCCCATCTCTTCTCCTTGTTTTTCCAGAAAAGAAAGTCCAGTTCCAGCGTTCAGTTAATGGTGAGTGTCTGCCGTCTCCCAAACGCCGGTAAATGCTGGGCCTCGACCCCTCGCTCCTGCCTCCCTCCTGCAGGCTGCACAGGGAACCCGGGGCGGGGAGAGGGTGCTCAGGGCGTGCTCGGTACGTGTGCCTCGTGTGACAAATATGTGTGTTGCGTGTGCGTGTTGTTGGCGTGTTTCTGTTGACACCTCCAACTCCATGGCCCAGACCAGCAGCCCGACCGTAGACCTGAGAACGCTGTTGGGTAGGAAGCTTGATTTGAACCCCATCCCACATCCAGCCCTTGGCTTCTCGCTTCTCCCCGCCCTCTGCTGTGGAACTCATCTCAGGGCTTGGTTTGTGCCAGTTGTGACGCAGGGTGGAGGGGCTTGGTTTGGCCAATGCAGTGGGTGCCGGAGAGGCCCTTCTTGAACAAGGCTATACAGGGCCTGCCGGTGGCAGAGGAGCCACCAGCCCTGCCTCCAGTGGTGGCACAGTGGCCCATGTCCCTCTTCTTCTGATTCCAAATGCTGTCTCCCTCAGGTGTGTGGTTTTTCTCTCCCTGAAAAGCCCAGCTCTCTCACACTGGGCCTCCCTCTCCCTCTCTCTCTCTCTCTCTCTCTTCCTCTCTTGCCAATGTGTGTATTCCTTCCCCATTCTGTGGCCACCATGTGCCTCTCTGCCCCTCTATACTCCCTCTATGATCCCCAAGCAAAACGGCCCAGGGACCCCTCCCAGCCCGTCCAGAAAGGCCAGGGTTCTCCTTGCATCCATCCCTCCATCCACGCCTCCATCACCAGCCACCTGCTTAGCTGGGCCCTTCCCCTTCGTAGGTTCAGAAGTCTGACAGGTTTTCAGTGGAGCTTCCGGATGGCAGAGCCAATGAGGCTTACAGAAACCAGGCTGCAGCATCAGGCAGCCGGGGCAGCCCCCCACTGGCCGCGCCCCCTCCTGCTGGCCAGGCAGGCCTCAATGCCTCCCTGTTCTCTCTGGCAGGAATCTTCAGAGAGCACCAACACCACCATTGAGGACGAAGACACCAAAGGTAGGGGGGCCTTGCGTCTGACGCCTGGGCCCCAAAGCCTCCTCAGGCCCCCTACACTGACAGCCCCTAGTTTGATGGTTTGAAAGGGCCCCAGTGCCAACCCCGTCCTGCTGCTCTGCACAGAACCTCACTCTGGTTCCTTCCAGACTGAGCACACTGTGCCCGGCGTGGGATACTCAGGCCACTCGTGGTACACAGCTGGGCCTTTATTGTAGAGGTTATGCGTGAGCTTTCATATGTGTCAGAAAAGATTAACGTAACACATTCCTGCCATAAATGTATCGCAGCGGTATGCATTTTCCTTTTGAAATAAGCATGTTTGAATTTTTTTAAGTGTGCTGATTTTGAAAACATGAAGTAATAACTGTGAGGAAAGGGAAAGCAAAATGCAGGATGTTCAGTTGTATGGGAATCATGGGAAGCTCTGCCTAGGAGCAACCTGGGATGCAGGTCCTCAGAGGGAGCAAGCCGCATGTAATTGCGATCGGATAGTAAGAGGCGGTAATGAGGACCGTGATAGAAATAATGGCTGTGTTGTGGGCTAACCTGGAAGTGCTTTATGTTGATTTGAACTTCATCATAACCCTCTGGGGAGGTTGTTGTTAACCCCATGCATCCCACAGCCCCAGAAACAGAGGAGTCGAGTCAAGTGTCCCCAGGCCCTATAGCTCATAAGGGTGGAGTCAGGGTTTGAATCCGGGCAGCATGGCTCCAGGGCCTGGCTCATAACCACCATGCAGGGGGCCATGGTGTGTGGAAAGGATGCGTCTTCTGGCCAGGGGACACCGAATAGTTGGATGCGTTGGTGACATTCTGTGCTCCGTCTGCACCCTGCCCTCCTCATCCCCCTGGGACAGGGACACCAGAGAGCTCGGGGTTCCCGCACCTGGGCACGTGTCAGAGACGCCTGGGAGCCTCTGAAATCTAGGAAGACACCGTTGACCTGAAGAGACCGCAGCTGGGCCAGTTTAGACATTTTTCAGTGGTTTAGATAATTTTCCTTGAATAGAACATAATAATGGAGAAAAGACCATTTTATTATGCAATAAGTATTTTTGCACAATTGCAATCCAGGTTTTAAGACAGCTTTGATACAGTAAATGCCATGACTACCTCTTGCGTCTGCCAGGGTACCCTGGAAGATCAACCCCACCTGTGTATTGCCCTCTCTGATCAGTCCCCCTTGTGGGGCACAGGTCGGGGGACTCACTAATGCCATAGACTGGCACTAGAGCAAATTCATTTTCCACGAAGGCACTAGTGCCAACCTTTAAAAATACATGGCCTTGAAGAAGAATCCCTTGTTAGGGTCAAATCAGCATTCTAAGTCCCTCAAGTATAATTCTCCACCCACCCATGGCCCTGCCCCTGTGGATTCGGATTCTATGGTTTTGCATTGGCCTGAGACATGGTGTTTCTGTGACCGGCCCCATAGTTGAGGCTCACTGTCCTGATGGTAAGATTGGGATTTTGGGGAGACTCGCTGTGGTCTCATGATTCTGGTCTCACAGTAGTTAGGGACCATGGAGGCACGCTAGCTCTGTGCTTCTTCACTGGGGTCCATTTGCTGGTTGACCTTGAACAACTTACTCAACCTCTCTGAGCCTCAGTTTCCTTAACAATAAAGAGTTGATGATAATAGTTCTAACCTCCGAGGATGGCTGTAAAGATGAGATGAGATGCTGCATATAAAGTGCTTACACAGTGTTTGGCACATGGAAATTGTTTCATAAATCTTAAATTTTTTTTTGAGGCTAGAGCTTGTGGTTGACAGGAAGCCACATGCCATTTTTGGAACATCCATTTTACTGAAAGATTATTTTAAGACAAATATTTATATATTAAACAGACAGAGAAATATTTGGAAGAGAATGCAAAACTTGTGTGCGCTATAAATGTAAAATATGAGCTGCCACAGACATTTTCCACCTGGGGGAATAGCTCTGGGTTGCATCCCTGAGCCCTACACTTACAGTCATCATTCTCTGTGTTAGATCACTGGGGACATTTGTGAAGCCTTGAATATTATTTAATTCATCTAGTCCCCCCTTTGTTTCCCCTTCTTTTTTAAAAATGTTATTGATTTTAGAGAGGGAAGAAGGGGGAGAGAAAGAAACATCAATGTGAGAGAGAGATGTTGATTGGTTGCCTCCCTGACAGAGGATTGAACCTGTAACTTAGGTATGTGCCCTGACCAGGAATCGAACCTGAGACCTTCCAGTGCACAACCAACTGAGCAACACCAGCCAGGGCGAGGCCCCTTTACAGGAGGAAGTGTGAGCTCAAGGATGAGGAAGGGCACATCGGGTTATCAATGGCAGAACTGGGAGCCACTCCCTGCCTCATTCCCCCACATGTCTGATGGGAGAGACGCCGGCTCAGCCAGGAGCTTCTCCCGTGCTTGGCAGGAAAGAGGAGCCCTGTGCCTCCCACAGCTTCTCCAGGCCTCAGAGAAACTTTCCAGAGAACCATTTTCCGGTGTTGATCTGTTAAGTCTTCTTCCTAAGTGAGAATAGCAGCTGGTGGGGTGGATTCTGACCTACCATTAAAATTAATTAGAAATGTCATCCTCCAGGGAACATTTTCCCACGAGCAAAGGAAGGGACATTAATATTTCAGAGCACCTCAGGCCTTATGCGCAGGCCTCTCCCCCTCCAAATCTCACTGGGCTCTGCCAGGCCTTCTCCCCACTTCCTTACCCCCTCCCGGTCAGCTCCATGAAATATTCATTTCCTCTATGGCCCCAAGAACTGCCTCAGAATCTCAGCAGAGACATTCTGGGAAATATCAGCCAGGAATGCCGATCCCATCACAGCCTTGGCATGCTGTGTGATCTTGAGAGAGTGCCTTAACCTCTCTGGTCCTCAGCTTTTCCATCTTTAGGGGAGCACTCCTGGGCTGTCTGGGTGAATGCCTGGCAGGTGGACGTGCACAGCTTGCTCCTGAGCAGCTGCTGAGTAAACCCCTCACATAGCAATGGGATTGCTGAGGGCACGAGAGGGGCCCAGAACCAGAGTGAATTTATCCAGATTTAAGGAACACTAGACTCCCAGGTTTTTTAATTTATTTTTTTAATTTTTTGTCCCAGAGAATGAAGCTAGGGAGATTCCTTCCCATTAGGCATTGACTGTTGGCATAATTGGTGTCCTGAGTGGCTGGAGGCAAAACCAAGTTAGGTATTATCTCAGGCTATATTAATAGAGGTAGTGTCCGAAGTGGGGAGGGGATAGAGAATGCTACTCCGGACCTGATATTGTGTAGAATCCAAGCCACACCTGGGATTATATGCTTACACTCAGTGAGGCCTCTGAAGAGTAGATGGCCCGCTTGAGTCAGAGCCTCAAACCACATCCTGGAGGCCTTCAGCCCTGAGGAGAGAAGACTGGCAGGGCAAAGGCATACATCCAGGGAGCAGACAACTCAGTGCAGGGCCCCGGAAGGCAGAAGGGAACCAGAACCATAGCGAGGGGCTTCAGGGTGACAGATTTCAACTTGGAAGAAGAAGGAAGCTGGCACCAATGGTGAGAGCTGTCCCATAATGCAGCGGGCTGCCCAGTGGACTGCAAGCCCCCAAATGAAACCCAGACGAAAGCCTCACACATGAGGCCGCTGGGAGGCAGCCTGAGGTCAGAGGCCATCCTCAGGAGGAACTTCCAATTCGGAGACTTGCACACGATAATAAGTAGCTGCTGCAGCTCAATAGTTGATCATCGACTCATGAACCGGAGGTCACAGTTCGATTCCCAGTCAGGGCACATTCCTGGGCTGTGGGCTCGATCTCCAGTGCGGGGGCATGGAAGAGGCCGACAGTCAATGATTCTCTCTCATCATTGATGTTCCAATCTCTCTCCTCCCTTCCTCTCTGAAATCAATAAAAATATGTTTATTTTTTTAAAAAGATATTAACCACAGCTCTCATGTAGGGAGTGCCAGCTTCTGCTCTAAATGCTTTTTATATTGCATCATTATTGACATAAAAGGAGTTGATATAAAGGCCTGGGAACAGTAGTTGGTTCTTAGTGAGGACCACATATGTATCAGCTATTTCTTTTGCTATATTCTTAACTCACATAATCCTTAGAACAACCCTATGAGGTAAGTGCTATTGGTAGCTCCATTGCACAGATGGGGAAACGGAGGCACGGGGAAGTCCCTTGCCCAAGGACCCAGGGCCAGGATCCAAACACAGGGAGTCTGGCTACCGACATCATGTCTTTGACCACTTTGCTAGCCTCTCTGAGATGGCATGAGAGGCAGTGCACAGGGGGCAGGGCATTACGCACAGGCTCATGGGATGTCAAGTTGGAAGCATTCTTAAAATCCAGATGGAGGAGGCCAGGGCCGTGGCACTGGCCCCATGCCTGCCGTGAGCACATGGACCCGCTCTGGGTCACCACCTTGGTTCCGCGTGGGAGAGGCTGGGTGACGTGTCTCCTGGCAGCGGTGGCTTTTTTCCATCCTCAGTCTCCAGCATCTATGCCGGAGGGCAGAGTTGACCAGGAGGTCAGGCTCTTGGGCTCCCTGGGACAGGCCACTAGGCAACTGGGGCAATTCCAGGAAACAGGGCAACATAGCAGCCTTGGTTTGGTGCCATCCACTCACTCTTTCCTTCTTGCTGCCGCTGTCCCAACCCCAGGCAAGGCCCCCGAGTGACCTGGCAGAGCTCACGGCCTCAGATGGACTCATCCCCAGCCCTGGTGATTATTCAAAAATAATTTGTGGTTCATGGTGGTAACAGACATTGAAGATGAGCACCCACCATGTGTCTAGGGCTGTGCTGGGCAGGGGCCCCTGCCCTGAGGGGCATGTGTGGTGAGGAGAGTGTGATGGGCTTTGGAGCTGCAAACGCCGGGCAGTTGGTCCACGGTGCAGACAATAACGTCTCTCACCTCCAGATTGCTCACCTGTGATGTGGAGGTGATAGCCACGTGAAGTGGTGCTGTGAGCTTTCAAGATCCCGCAGGTTGAGCACACAGCACAAGGCCTGATGTGCTCATTAATTTAATAACGAGTTCCCCTGGGGGCAGGCCTGTTCTAGGCGCCTGGGAATCCAGCAGCCAAGGGCAGCCACAGCCCAGCCTCCGTGGAACTTGTATTCGAGTTGGGGAGAAGACGGCATACAGGCTCTGAGTGTCAGGGAGCATGGTGGGGTGCTGGGGCCTCCTGGAAAGGTCCTGGGCTGGGAGCCGGACTCTGCACCCTGTCTGCTCCGTGTCCCTGGGCAAGTCACAACCCCTCCCGGGCCTCAGTTTCCCCAGGAGTGTGACAGGAAGGCTGAGCCCCAGTCTTCAGGGGTTCTTCCAGCCTGGCTGTTCTGTGACTCTGTGTCCTCTGGGTCTGAGGTGAGCTCCTGGTGGGAGATGGGGTGGGGTGACTTGGGCAGTGATGAGGAAAAGGGCAGGGACAGCCTCAGCCAGCATGGTCTCTCTCTTTCTCTCTCCCACATTCCAAACTGAGAAATGGCTGAGTGTCCATCTACCTCACCTGCAGCTGCTCCATAGGCCAGTGAACCGACCGGATTTGGAGCTGAGCTTGAACCTGGGGGAGGAGGGGAGGAGAGGAGGGAGAAGGAGGGCATACCCCTGGGAAACCATGTGAAGCTTCTGGTAGAACTGTCCTTCTGGGACCAAGAGTCCTGGCCTCAAAGTCCTGCATTACTGAGGCTTCATGTCCTCAGGTGTCGGCTGGGGGAAACGGGCCCCACCCGGCTCTCAGGTGTCTGTGTGGCACAGATGTGGCACCATGTGGGAGGATGCAGGAAACGATACCTACACCGTGTACCGACTGTGTGCCCGGCTTTGGTTTGAGTGCTTCGTGCTCATCACCTCATCCCAGCTTCATGCCAAGGAGGGGAGCACTACCATCTCATCGGACAGACCAGGGACCTGCCTTGTGGCCCACAGTCTCACATCTTGTAAGGGCCTTGGTTGGAATTTATTTATTTATATATTTTTAAAAGAGTATAGCCTAAAATGAAAGGTCCTTCTGCATATAATTGCTCCCAAGCTTTTTTTTTTTTTTTTTTTTTTTTTTTCTTTATCAATTTTTGGAGAGAGCGGAAGGGAGAAGGAGAGAGAGCAAAACATCGATTGGTGGCCTCCCTCACACACCCGACCGGGGATCAAGCCTACAACCCGTGCATATGCCCTGACAGGGAATTGAACGGGCACAGGACAATGCCCAATCAACTGACCCACACTGGCCAGGGCCTCGGTTGGAAGTTAGATGAAGCCTTTCTGGTACTGAAGCCTGGGTTCTTTCCACGAGACTTTTGGCACTGAATGAATGAGAGGTGATGTTGTCCCCATTTTACAGATGGGAAGACTGGAGCTCAGAAATCACACATATAAGAAAAGTGACGTCTAACCCTCTGCCGGAAAGACAGCAGCTGTTTGTATTGTTTCGATGGTGGCAGGGGAGGCCAGGTCTCAGCAACTTGGAATCATTATGCCTAGAAAGTTCTGGAAAGCTCAGAGCCTGATTCCTACAGGCACCCACACGGAGCATAAAGCTCCCCATACCTAAGGGCTGAATAAGCCCTGAGACCTTTGTTAGCAGCTCCAGTTTGGGCATGGCTGCTAGGGACAACCCTGACAGTTGACTGTTTTGATAGGAAATTGTATTTGAAGTCAAAACAGGCCTAGGGTGGGAATGCCCTCCATGGCTGCTTTTAGGGGGCAAGGGCTGTCAGCTAAGACACTGGCTCTGTCCCTTGTAGCTGAGGGAACTTTCATACCGTTCTCACCTTTCTGGGCCTCAGTTTCTTCTTCTGTGAAATGGGAGTAATGATACCTACCTGTCATGGCTACTGTGAGGATAACTGAGACGATGTACACGAGGCCTGCAGGCCCCAGGACAGGGTCCAGTCCATGACAAGGACTCAGGAAATGGCAGTTGGTGCTTCATTGCTGTCACGATTGCTACTATTTCTGTGTCCCCTCCTGCCTTTCAGTGCGGAAACAGGAAATTATAAAAGTGACAGAGCAGCTGATTGAAGCCATAAGCAATGGAGATTTTGAGTCCTACACGTGAGTCGGCTGAGCCCATCCTGCATGTCCTGCCTGGATTGTTGTTTCGGGGGGCTGATGGCTAACTTTGGGGTCCGCGTCTCTGACTCGCAGTCACTCACTCTGCATGTGCTGTGAATCAGAATGAACTCGAGTTCCTGTTTTGCCTTCAGACTTTATGCTCTTATTAAGCTTTCTGTTCAACATGCTTCTCCATCCCTCAGTCCTGCTCCTCCTGCTCCCCGTTCCCGTTCCCCAGGACTCTCTTGCTTCCCTGAGGAAAGAGGGGGTGATCTCCACTGCAGCACGGGCCTCCTCAGGAAATGAGCTGGGAAGGAGGAGGGGGAGGCAGGTCCTTCCTTAGTCTTGCCTTGTGGGCCTGGGTCTTCACCCTGGACCTTCTCAGACCTCTGACCTCAGCTGGGCGGGAGTGGGCAGGAATCCACAGAGTGAGAACCTCCAGTGAGCAACGGTGAGCAAAAGAACCTCAAAATGGAACCTAAAATTCTCTAGGGAATGAGGCAGTGTGCAAAAATAACATAAGAGGAAACAGGTGGTATAAGATGTTCTCTCCACACCTGGGCCAGCCCTTGAGGGGCAGCTGTGTGCAAAGGCTGGGATGGAGCGCCCCCTGGTGGTCACCCAGACTACCCTTCCTGGTCTAAAACCCAGAAGCAGGCTCTGAGCCTGTCTTCAGTTGCTCCAGGGACAGCTGGGATTCCAGGCTGAGGCCTCAATCTCTTGGTTAGGGTTGTTAAGGTCTGGGCCCGGAGACCCCACGTATGCTTTCAGTGGACAGAAACTGCCAACTGAGGCAGAATAACCCTTGTCTGCTGGGTTCAGGTGAGGGGAGAACAACCTGGCCAGGTTTGCTCCTTGGGCAGCCTGTTCTTGGTTTCCACTGTGCCCAGGAGCTGAAGTAGGTTTCCCAAGGCCTGGCAGTCACTGTGGGAGGGTTTCCACAGCGATGGGTGGCAAAGCCTCAGAAATCTATTAGTTACCTCTGGAGGAGCAGGACCTTGGAAGGTGCAGGTGTTAGACTGAGGCCACAGGTACACGTGTGTGCATGCACCTGTTCATGCATGCAGGTTTGCGATTGTGTGCACAGGGGTGTGTGCACTGGGTGTTGTATAAAAGCATGGAAATGCGCTAACTCAGTTTTGCAGCGGTCCTAGAAAGAGGTCAGTCAGCCATGGGAGAACCAGAGAGTGGCGCTGGTAGAACACAACCGGAAACGGGGAGAAAGAAAGGTGGCTCCTGTGGACCCCAAGTCTCTCAGTGCCATTTCTGGGGACTCCCTCACTCTGTGATGTCACTTTCTCTGGCATCTGTAGTGTACTCTAGGTTTTGACCCCTTGCCATGCCCTCTGGGGGCCATGGGGCCCTGTGTACCCCTGGATAAGTCCCTCCATGTCAGGAGCCTTGGTTTCTCTACATGTACAGTAAGGTTGAAGCAGATAGTCTCTTTCAAGGGCAGGCATGCCCAGAGACCTCCTGGAGAGGGGCTTCCCCAGGGGTGCTCAGTCTCCTCGATGTTGACAGATCAGACTCCCATGTGGTCTGAGCACAGCCCCCGGCCCCTAGTTAACCCACCTGGAGAATTTGAGGTTCTGCGTGGAAAAGCCAGTTGCCTGAAGTCACAGCAACAGAGCAGTGAGGGCAGCACAGGGACAGAGTGCCCTGCACTTGCTAGGAAAAAACTCCTCCAGTTGTCTTCCGTTCCTCCCCAGATCGGGACCTCTGCCTTTCCTGGGATACTTTCTGTCCCTGGCTTCATTGTCATTGTCACAGGAGTCCACGTTCTGTCACAGAGACCTGGGGATGGGGGAGTCCACTCTCCCTCTCCCCCCAACCCGGCTATCAGGGTCTCTCAGTAGACTGAGACCTGGAAGGGAGCATTGCCCTGAAAACACACAGCCATGCCCCTGCCGCCCTCCTCCCAGGCATTGCTTCGTGGAATGCTGTTTTCCTCATCTCATAGTGAGGGCTGCCGTTCACAACAGGGAATCTTTGTTTAAAGTAGCAAAATGCACGCTCTCCAGGGGCAGACCTTCTTGGTGAGTGCAAGTCACTTAAATGTGAGGGAAAAGGCTCCCAGGAACCCAGGATGAATTAGGAACTCCCCACCCTGGGGATCTGCTGCCGGGGCAGGGACGGGGTGCAATTGGGAGAATAGCCTTTAGGCTGGTCTGTGCAGGGCCCAGCTCTGCACGCACTCATGGTGCTCTTGATTAGAGAGGTTAAGCCGCCTGGCTGGTAAAATGGCAGAGCCACAGCCTGAACCTGGGCCTCCCGGTTCTAAATGGCATCAGCCAGTCAACGGTGTCCCACACTACACAGTTCGCAAAGCCCCTCCCCCACCCATCGGCCTCATGGATCTGGTGAGGTGGGTGCCGTTACTCCAGTTTCACAGGCTCACCCAGGCCGCCCCAGCCCCTCTTTCCTCTGACTTCCTCCCCCCAGGAAGATGTGTGACCCTGGGATGACAGCCTTCGAACCTGAGGCCCTGGGGAACCTGGTCGAGGGCCTGGACTTCCATCGATTCTATTTTGAAAACCGTGAGCAATTCCTTCTGTCTGGGGTGCCTGTTGTCTGCTCTCGTTCCGTGTCCCGCCGGATGGCACAGCAGGGTGACGGGCAGGGCCCCCGGGGCGGCTCAGGAGCCAGCGAAGAGGAGGATCCCGTGTGGACAGGGGTTGGTACCGCCTTGGTTCCCTCTCCTAACCCTGGCCCGCCCCACTGCCAGCTGCCCCTCCCGTGGCTGAGGATGTGGACCTGGGATAAGCGTGATGAGCCCTCTCAGCCCTCTCCTTGCCCGTGACCCTTCCCACATCCAATTTATAGTCATCTTGACCCCTGGGACCACCCCAGCTGCCCAGCTGGTCACAAGCTGGCTTGTGGGTTGTTATGCAAGTGCCCCCTCTCGGTGGGCAGCCTGGGGAAGAGGAGAGGCCCCGAGCTCACACTGCTGTGCCCTGCCTGTCTGTCTGGGTCTCTGTCCGCACGTCTGTCCTCTCTGGGCCTCTCCTCCGCAGGAGAGACCCGGCAGCTTGGCAACCAGGGGCTGTCGGGGCTGAGGCTGGGCCTGACCTCGGGTGCTTTCTGCCTGTGTCCGTGTCTCACCTTGGCCAGGGGTCAGACAGGGGTGAACCACAGCGCATGCAGGTTAGGGTCACGCAGCTCGGGACTCGGAGGAAGGCCTCGGGAGGTGGCATGGCCACCGTCTTCCCGAGGGAAGGCATGTACCACTGAGGTTTCACCAGATGATTTCCGGGTCACGTGGGCACCCCTCCAAACCACAGTGGCTCTCACAGTGAGAGAGTTGGTCCCTTTCTAAATTCTCCTTCAGTACATCCGGCTCCATGAAGGGGAAAGGCCCGGTTGGGTGCTAGTCTGTCTGGAACACCCCGTAACACTTTCTAATTTCCCTCTTCATCAGGGAGAGTGGTCTCCGGCTCAGATCTCTTGCAGGCAGGCGTGCGGAGCTAGGATTACGTAACTTCATTTAATTTCTGCTGGACTTATTAAAATCGGGTTCTGTGATTCTGGTTGACACTGATGATTGCGCCAAAAAGTTTTCTTTTAAAATATCAAATAATAAAGTGAATCGGTTTAAGGAAATATTTTAATGAAGTATAGGTGGCAGTTGTAGGTTAAAATGAAGGAGGTATTTAAATGGCTGATGTAGGATCTAGTTCAATTCTTCATCACACAGAGGGGGAAACTGAGGCTCAGAGAGGGGAAGTGACTTGTCCAAAGGAACCCAGAAAGTCAATGGCAGACCCCAGTCCTGACTCACTGCAGTGCCCTTCCCTTCCTTCCCCTCCCCTCCCCTCCCCTCCTCTCCTCTCCCTTCCCTTCCCTCTCCTCCCTCCCCTCCCCTCCTCCTCCCCTCCCTTCCCCTCCCCTCCCCTCCCCTCCCCTCCCCTCCCCTCCCCTCTCCTTTCTTCCCTTTCCCTTCCTTTCCACATGCTGCCCCTCTCCTCTGTGCATCAGTAGCCATCAGCTGGACACTGCTACCTGCATCCAATCTGACTGAGTTTTATAGGGTACAGAGGCTCAAGAGCACCCCCAAAAAACTGTGAAGAAGAACATTGCATTTTTCTTTGATCAGTCGGACTCTGATTCTTTAAGGCTAGCAATGCCAGTTTAATTTTCACGTGAAGAGAGGTGGCGGGACTCCGCCCTCTCTCCCACTGGTCCCCATGACCTTAGAGCTCACCAAGGCCATCTCTCTACTGGTTTGTCCCCTGAAGATACTGGTTCCCCATGGTGTAATCCAGCCTCTGTCTGTCCCTCTGGGATTGTTCTAAGATTGCTCTAATTCAATCCCACAGAGATACTGTGGGATTGGGCACCACTGTTCTCAACATGTAGAATGAAGGAAATTTGGGGAATATTAAAATTGTAGAACCTTAGACTCTTGGAATTGTAAGGATAAGACTACTTTTAGGTTCTACTGCTATTCTTTCAAAACCTAGCCCAGCTTAGAACAAGTCAGGTTGCTTCTCTGGACCTCAGTTTCCAGGTCTGCTAAATGGACACATTAAACTAGGCCATCTTGACTGCCTTCAGCTCTGGATGCTGTCAAGGATGCTTACGGAGGCTTCCTTGCATTGGGAGGAGGGACACTGGTGACTTCTGACCTCTGAGGTCACTCCCAAGCCTACAACACGAAAGCTGTACATTCTCTCTACAAGCCCAGAATTGTAAAACTACATTAGTCTACAGACCTAAGACCCCGTGATTTTGAGTCCTTTATCCAAAGCCTGGGTAGAGTGTGATTATAATATTAGGGGTGGAAACTATTGGAGGCTTTCTACAGTCATGGGCGGAGGGGTGGGGGGGGAAGAGAGACATTTTAGATTTTTTCAGAAAATCAGTGACTCACAAACCTGGCTGGGCATCAGAATCAGAGAGGGTGGGGAAGGGGACAGGGGCTTTTTAATACTATAGATTCTTGAACTGACATCTCCAAGGATTCACGTGTGCTTTCTGTGGTGTTTGGACTTACCTTTGGGCTATACTAAGGAAAAGCATAAGGGTTATTCCTGTGACCCTGTCCAGTCCCAGCCTGGCTTATTATCATCTTCCTGTGCTTTGTGTTTTATCTTGCTGGGAAAAATTAAGAATTCCTAGAATCAAAATAAGTAGTAGTAGCAGTAGTAGTAATAATAATGGCTAATATTTTCCATAGAGAAAGATGTTTCAGATCTTTCAAAAGGCATGTCTGTCAGGTCTATGATTATAAGAGCTATGCATTTCTCTCTAACTCTGCAAAGCTCCGTGACCTCACCCTACGAACCGCAAATACCATCCTTCCAATCCCAAGTCTAAGGTTCTACAATTTTAATATTCCCCAAATTTCCTTCATTCTACATGTTGAGAACAGTGGTGCCCAGTGAGGGGCCCACAAGCCGTATCTGGACCGCACACATGTTTTATGTGGCCTGCATGTTGTTTTAAACTTGAATTAGATGCCAATAATTAAAAATGAGACATTTCCACATAAAAACTCAGATTTCCTGATTTTCTTGAAAAGTCAGCAAGTATGGCATTAGGGGTCCCGGTTACTCAGATAGCAACCACTAGGGGAGCTGTGTACAGGGCGCCCCCTGTGGATGGAATGTGGTCAGCTAGTCACCAGTGTCCACCACTCTCTATTGTCTCCCTCACCCAGAGGCAAATGGTCAGTTGTCATTTAGCATTTTGTACCCGGCTCAGCCCCTCATTTGTGTACTTGCCTGGCCTCTATAGGGATCGGGGTTCAAGACTAGTCTCAACTGATTTGATCCTATAATCATCTATGTTGTATTTTTCTGTGTCTGAAGACACTATGATTCTAAAATCCCATTTCCCTGTGCTTGAAGTGTCTGAAACCTATTACCCCTAAGCTGGGCTGTGACCTAGTCATCTAGGAGTTCTGCCTTGACACCCAGGTGGCTGAGCCCTGTCACGGAGGCTGCTCCTCGGGAAATGAGGCAGACGGAATGTGCTGGGGGTTGGGGGAGTGAAGGGCATGAGGCAGGAAGTCCCTCAGCTGCATCTGCTCTGCTCACTCCCATCCCCGCCTGCAGTGTGGTCCCGGAACAGCAAGCCTGTGCACACCACCATTTTGAACCCCCACATCCATCTGATGGGCGACGAGTCGGCCTGCATCGCCTACATCCGCATCACTCAGTACCTGGACGCCGGCGGCATTCCCCGCACGGCTCAGTCGGAGGAGACCCGCGTCTGGCACCGCCGGGATGGCAAATGGCAGATCGTCCACTTCCATAGATCTGGGGCGCCCTCTGTCCTGCCCCAGTAAGAGCCCCTCCTTCCTGCCTTGTCATTGGGACCCTCTAAAGGGAGGCCATGGGACGGGGGCGGGTGGACCATGGGAGGAGACCAGGCCTGCTGGTCCCAGGGGTAGAGCTGGGCAGGTCCCTTAGGGGGTAGCTACCTCCATCTAAGGAGGTAGGCCGGGGTGGGTGCCTAGGAAACGGGGGGGAGGGGGGGGGAAGGGGGGAGGCGGCGCCTTGGATGCACCTGCATGACCCATTGCATTATCGTGTCTTACAGTTGAAGGACCAGGCAGGGGCGCTGTACTGCAGAGAGCTACTGGTGTCCGTCTGTCCGTGGAATGTCGCCGCTGGTTCTCCCACCTTGGATTTTGCTGGAATTCCCCCACTCACATCCTCCCACCACCACCATCACCGCCACTGTCATACCTGCATCAAGAGCACCTGCCCACAAAGCCTTCACGTCTTCAGAGCAAATGGCCACATCTCCCTGCCGCCCGCCAGTCTCAGTCTCCGTCCCCAGCCAGGGCAGAGCTTCCTCAGGCCTGGGAGCCCTGGGTGCTGGCCCTGAGGACCCCCCGCCTGGCTGCCATTGGCCTGATTTGCCTTGGCGGCAGAATGCCCAGCTGTTCGTGCACCCAGGAGCTGGAGAGAGGAAGAGGTGGAGTCAGGAGATCCCTGATCTCTCTCCTCTTCCAGGATTCCTCTGGGGAAGGCAGATGAACCTGCAACCCCTGAACCCACTTCCCCCATGGGAGAGAGAGAGAGAGAGAGAGAGAGAGAGAGAGAGAGAGAGAGAGAGAGAGGAGAGCGGAGCAGATGCCAGGAGCCTCCTGCCTCAGACGGCCTCCCTACCTCTTCTCCTGTCCCATCCTGGCCTCCAGGCCCAGCCTGACACTTCTCCCTCAGTGTGCAGAGCGCGATCCTCTCAGGGTGCCCCCACTCTCCTCCTCCTTCCTTCTCTGACGTTTACCTCCATCTCTAACCACCCATTCCACCCCCCCCCCCCCCCCATCGGGCCCGGGGAATTCCAGCTTCATCACAGCCGAGGGAGAAAACCTGAATGCTTTTTGGGGGCAAAAGAAAGCAACGCCTAGGTTATCTCTTCTCCTTGGACCGCATGCCTTTTTATAGCCAAATCCTGTGTGTTTCGTAAATGGGTTTCACGTTCATTGATATTTATGTCATAACTAGACCTCTCAGTGATTGTAAAGGAGGGTTGGGCTGGGTTGGGAAGGGCAGAGGGAAGAGGACAGAGGGATAAGCTCTTTTTCTGTCCGTTCACTTATTATTTTTTTTTAATATCATCTCTGAAATGGGTGTGGTCACCATTGGTTCCCCAGCCTCAGTGAGAGGCACCTCCCCAGAATTTTGGACCCCAGGTTCTTCTCAGGACTGCGTCAGGTGTGAGTGCCGATAAGAAACAGGACGTGGGGGCAGAGAGCCTGGGGGAGGTCCTCAGGATGGAAGGACCTGGACTTTTCTCTGTTTGCCTCCCACACGGGAGTCCTCACGACCACGCTTCCCGAGCGTTCATCCCAGCTCATCTGTGTGCCACCCCCGGCGGCCTCCCCCGGCTCTGGCGGAGGGCCGTGAGCATGTGTCTTCCTCACCCACCCCCTCGGTATCCGCCGGTCTAAGCAGAGCACCGGGACATCTCCTCTCCACGCCTCGTCCTGCCGCCGCCGTGGGCCTCATCGCTCCCTCCTCTTTTCTTTTCCTTCCTCTCGCCCTCTTCCCTGGGGCGGACTCTGATGTAGAAGGCCTTGGCACATCCACGAGGACCTACTGTCTGCACTATTTTCTTTGCATGACTTTATATGCAGTAAGTATGTTGAAAAAAAACACAGAAAAGAAGAAAAATCACAGCAAAAAACAATCTACATGTTTTGGACAAAAAAAAAAAAAAAATAGAGGCTGTATTCTCAGTGTCTGACTCAGAAATATGTCGCTGCCTCTCTGTGCTTCTGGCCTCTGTGTGGCCACATGTTGCCAGCATGAGATACCGTCCCGTCCGGAGGATTTTAGGGGAGGAAGAGCCACATCCCCAAGGCTTTGGAGGAGGCACTGGTTCCCCCAAACCTCCCGGGAGTCCTGGGGGGTAGGTGGAGCAGGACTGATGGGGATATTTGATCCAGACCTTTCTGAGCTTTCCCCGATTGTGGGCTCTTCTCTCAATGGCCGACGCTCTGGGGACAGGTGAGGCGGGCAGGTTGGGGCCACAGGCCAGTACAGAGGCTGCCAAGGCCTCCTGGTCTCCAAGCTGGTCGATCAGTAGCCTCCGTTCTTGGTAGAGACCCTGCTGCCGAGGCCCAGGGGTGGGCAGTGGCTTGCCCCGGGCCCAGAGGGTTTCCCAGTAAGGCCCACTGATCCCAGCATCCCAGCCGCAAAGATGCCTGCCTCCCAGGGAGCTGGGAGCCGCCAGCTCCCACGGCCATCCCCAAGCCAGAGGTGTGGCCTTCACCAGGGATGCTGCCACCCTCAAGGTCAAGTCTGGTCCCTCCTTCAGCCTTGGTTTCCCCTTCAGGTATAGGGGTGACATATTCCTGCCCGGCCTGTGTCGCAGGGCTGATGGGAAAATCCAATGGGGTGGTACCATTGATAGGGTTAGTCACTGGCTGGACTCCCATTCTGAGCCTTGCCAGTCCCCTCCCCCGCCTGCCCTGTCATTCTCCTCGTTGGTGCCTGTCAACTGCTTATCAGCAGTGGACTGCGGGGGGCGCAAGAGCTGTGGCTTGGGGCTCATTGGGATTCCAGTCCCAGCTCTGAGCAGACTTGCTGTGTGGCCCTGGGCACATCCTTTCCCCGCTCTGGTCCTCACTTCCCCACCAGAGGAAACGGAGCTGGAGGACACCAAGGTCCTGCTGACACACCTGCCTGCCATGTCCCTCTCTACGTACCAGGGAAGTGGAGGCAGGCCCCTTTCCCAGGCTGAGACGGCCCCGGAGTGAAGGCCTCGCCTGCGGGGGCGGGGGGGGGGGGGCTGCCAGCCGGTGTGGGCTGCAGGCACCGGCACTGGCACCGGTGTGATCCGGAGGCAGCAGGCAGGGGAGACAGTCAACTCTGTGCTCCTTCCAAACATCCTATAGATGCAAAAAAAAATAATAAAAAAAAAAAAAAATAATAATAATAATCCAGACCTAAGACCTGGCCTAGGTTCCAGCATGCAAACACGTTTACAGGAAAGTGTTGTCCCGGGTTCGGGCCCACGTGGCGCTGACCCTCACCATGGCCTCCCGTCTCCCTTCATGGGAAGACCCTCTGGGGGATGTGTTTGCCAGACTCCCCATGCTGGTTTCTTTGTTACTACTATTTGTTTGGGGTTTTGTTTCAGTTCTTTCTCTCTCTCTCTCTCTTTTTTTCCCTTTTCTGTTTTTAAAAAATATGTGGCTGTGAACTTGAATGACCACTGCTCAAACTTTATGCTATTGGGGGGGTGGGGGGGAAGGAGGGGCGTCTGTTTTATTCTTGGTGTTTTCAGTGCAATAAATAGCTACAAACTTCTGTGCGGGCTGTCTCCCTGTCTGAGTCAAGCACACACTGGGAGGTTGTTTCTAGACCTTCCTAGATGCAAAATAAAAAAGCCAGGTCTTCATTTTGATTGGACCAACGTGGTCACATACTCAGGGCTGAGCAATCACTGGGAGATGATGCCTAGACCACCTGCCACAACCTTAGAGACAGGGATGGGGCTCTCGGGCACCTGGGGGCCCTTGACAAAAGCAAAGGGGGTGGCTCTAAAGAGCCAACAGCAAAGTCTCCCTCAGGGGCCTGGGGCCAGGCTCTTCTCCTCCAGGCCTGGGCTCTTGAATAAGGAGGAGGTTGTTCCAGAAGTCCCTCCCCACCCCTTTCCCTCAGCCCAACATCACAGACAAGCCCCAGGCCTCAGGGCCCCTGGAGAGCAAATTTTTACCCACAAACTCTCTGTGGACAGAGTGCCTGGGAACAGGGGTCTTGGGGCTGGAGAGAGGAAAGGCGGGAGAGGTTCCACTGGCCCATTGGAGGCCACATTTGAGGCCACATTTGAGGCCAATTTGGTTCCTTGAGCCCAAGATACTCAGGCTGAGCCGGGGTAATGCAGAGGCTTTGGTGGCCCACCGTCCTGGTTTGCTGGCAAGGGACTTTCAGTGCCAAGCCTGGGACCATCTTGGGCAAACCGGATGGCATGGTCGCTCTAAGCCATGTCCCCTCAGAGGTATAGATTTCACAGGACCAAGGAGTGTGCCTTCTGGAGCCCACAGTCCCCCCTTGACCATGCTCCCGGTGTCCTGGGGTTCCGGAATTTTTGCACCAGCCACTTTCTGGGTCTATCCTCACTGCTGCTATGTGGGAGGTGGAGGGGCATGTCATGGGCATGTACCCCTATCGCACATGTGAGGACCTTCTCAGTGAGAGCAGAGACCAAGGCTGATTGCAGAGGGGCCTGGGGGCTTCCATGGACACTGTTGCCCTGGAGCCCGCAAATCCTAGTGCCAGGCCGCCCAGCTCTGCCTTCACGAGCCCTGCATCCACAACCTGGGCAGAAGACAGGGCTTGAGGCGTGGGATGCCATTGCAGACACTGGCCAGCAGGTGGAAGCACAGGAGCAGGTTACAGGATGTCCTGGGCCCGTGGGGCTACTGCGCTCTGGACGCTCCCAGCTGACCTTTAACTCTCTGGCAGTGCCAGCTCCATTTAAGACACTATTATTAGCTAACGGAGCATGGTCTTTTATAGTCCACAGGCCTCTCGTCACGCCTCTTGTTCCAGTCACAACAGCTCTCTTCTGAAGATGAAGGCAATGAGAACAGATGCAGAGGCTTCTTGCGAGACAGTCAGGGCTCCAGGGCAGGGTTCCGCTTCCTCCAGGATCTCCCTGCCCTGGCCCGGTTTCGTCTCCGGGCTGCCAGCGCATAGTGACTGGGGTTCTTAGGAACTCATTTGTCCCTTCCAGCCATTGCCTCATGTCTCAGTTGTCTACATCCGCCGGCTCCACCTCCTCACTGCCCCTGTACTCCACTCCAAAACCCACTGTAGATGCTGGCTAGCCCCCTCATTCTCCCGCTCAGCCCAACACCTCCCGCCCTCAGGACACAGCTCTGGTATCTTTTTGGGGAGTCTCCTCTTCTCTCCCAACACACATGGGGGGAGGTCCTTTTAGGGGCTTCCATGGCTCCTCCACCACCTCACTCAGCCTCTGGCTTGAAGTTGCGACCCCATCTTATCCAGGCTCAGGCCACATGCAGCAGGGTCGTCACTCTTGCACGGAAGAGACCCCTGGCAGATCTCTGCTGCTGGAATGGGGGAGAACTGTATGCTGTGGGGGCTTGAGCGTTACACCCACCACTGCAATAACGTCTGCACACCCCACCTCCTCTACGTGAGCTCTGGGCATGGCTTTTCTCTTCACCCCATGAATGAGGAGCCTGTGGTGCAGATGGGGAAGGAACCAGCCCAAGATGGCCCCACATGTGAGGGAGGGAAGTGAGATTCTGAATCTTGGCCACTCTAAGGTCCAGACTGCAGCCAACTGGGCTCCTGTCCCAGAAATCCCTGACACCGCCCCAGTAAGCACAAGCCCTGCAGAGACCCAGAACTCAGGGCAGGCAGGGGCGGGGGCTGGACCTGGAGGTGCAAAGTGTGTGGAAGCCAGAAGCAGCAGGAAGCACGTGGCAGCAGCTGGGGGTTCTGGGGGGGCTTTGTGCAGGTGCCCATAGGTTGACATGTGAGGGGGAGTGGAGGCAAAGGCTGAGAGCTCAGGGCTGGGGAGGAGGCCGAGGAAGACTGGAAGTGTGCACCAACCTAGTGAGCTGAGGGCATGCATGCCTGTCCAGGACACGGGTGGATCCCCAGCAATGGAGATGGCTTTTCCCGCCCTGAGGCCCTAGTAAATCTTTTAGGAAACACTGCCCTCCTACCCCCCAGCAGCTTCTGGGAATGTTTGCACAGGGCAAGGCCCAGCAGGTCCAGTCCAGTGGGAATGGCCTCCTCTCCAGTCCTTCCCCCGGGATGAGCCCCACCCTCCCTTCTCCACCTGGGCCTGCCAAGGTCTCAGAGGCCACTTCCCTCTGGGCAGCCTGGCTCTGCCATCCCTTCCTGGGCCCTGCGCCACGGCTGGGGTGGATGGAGCTATCTGAGGTAGATATTTCTTCCCCTCAAGGAAAGGGGGGAGGGGATTATCATCAACCCCCGCCCCCCACCGTGTGACCTTGGGTGAGTTACATTCCCTCTTTGGCCCTCAGTTTCCTCATTATTACTACAATGGGGTTGAACTTGTGTCCCCGAATATGGGAACTGGGATGGCTGCCGCAGAGTCGTCCGGGGAGTTTGCTAAAAATACAGATGTTTTAGGCCCTGCCCTCAGAGAGTAGGCTATGTTACAGCTGGGCAGGGCTCCAGGCAGCTGTAGTTTTAGTAAGCACCCTGCTTGGGAATTCTAAGCACCCCCTTCCCCAGTTCCCACAGTCACCCTGGAGCTGGGAGATCCAGTTATCGGCAAGCCCCACCCCAGCCTTCCCGCTTCCCCATGGGGCTCTCCTGACTCAACTAGGTCAATATTGACCATAGGCCCCTCCCCTGCCTCTGACTCCCGAGCCACCTCAAAGCCCCATAGCTGAGACCTTGACCTTGGGTCAGCAGAGTCAAAGTCAAAGGAATTCGTGGGGCCCAGAGGGTTTCATTGCTGTCCCACCGCCATCTCCTCCTGGTTTGGCAGGGCATCCAGGCTCCCTGGATAAACCACAGGGCCCCTGACCATGAACTCCATCTGGCAAGAGGAGCCAATCCCTGAGCCCAGCTTCAGAGAAGGGGCTCTGCTCCCCCTGCAGCCCTCCGCGGTGGTCAGTAGCGGAAGGCTGGATTGGGTAGGTGGCTCCCTTCTGTCCACTCTCTTCCCCCAGGCACCTCTAGGGGGCACACTTTTTCGGTCCAACCATTCATTGCAGATGGACACACTGAGGACCCACTTCCAAGGCTCCTTGTCATGGACCTGAAAGGTGCCGGCGAGCCCTGTGCCTCTATCTCGGCTGTTTCTGGCTCAAAGCAACACCACTCCTGCTCTCCTTCTGCTGGCTGGCTGGAGGCAGGGGATGGGCCTGTTTCTTTCTTTCTTTTTTTATTTTTTATTGTTGCTGTTAATCCTCACCCGAAGATATATATTTTTTTCCCCATTGATTATTAGAGAAAGTGGAAGGGAGGGGAAGAGACACAGGGAGAGAAACATTGATGTGAGAGAGATACATGGACTGGCTGCCTCCCGCACGCTCCCCAATAGGAGCCAGGGATCAAGCCTGAAACCGAGGTAAGTATCCTCAGCCGGAATGGAACCCTCAAAACCTTCAGTCCAAGGGTTGCCACTCTCACCACTGAGCACAATGGGCTAGGACAGCTTCTTTATCTAAACAAGGGCCAGCAGGCTCCTGAGAACCCACCTGGAGGGTTGCTGCCTGCCGTGTTTTTCTCTGATCACTTTTTGAGCAGTGGATCCCAGACGGGCTCTGACCAGCGATGTCCAAGGTGGCCTCGGCACCTACCTGCGACTGCTCTCAAAGGGTTGCAGCTCAGAGACGCTCTGAACTTTCCCGGGAAAGGCATCCTTTCCCCCAAAGAAAAGGAATCTTGGAGAGGGTGTTGGGAGGAGGCCAGAGGGGTCAGGCTGCTGCTCGGTGCTGGGGAAGAGGGTCAGGTGGAGATGAGCAAGGGGGTGCTGAAGGAAGCGGGGGGGGGGGGGGGGGGGGGGGAGGCAGGGGGGGCGGCGGTGGACGCCCTCCCAGGGCAGGGCCGGCGTCAGCGAGGCCTCAGCCCCAGCCCCAGCCCCAGCCCCAGGGGGAGTGGCCTGAAGCTCAGGGAGCCAAACTTTCCATGAGCCACCAGCAAAAAATGAGTCTGGAGCAGAGCGTCCACCGCAGACCTGACGGCTCAGCAGCCCGGGGTCACGTGGAATTCGGAGGGGCTGGGAACATCTTAACTCCTTGCTGGCTGTCTCTAGAGCCACCGCCACCAAGCTGCTCTCAGCGTGATGCGGCTTTGTGCAAAGCTGTGAACTGGCATTGTGGGTCCCCAAGGACACACAGGCAGGGAGGGGCAGAGCAGGGAATGAAGCTGGGCGTATGGCTGAGCCGCCTGCACTCCCTGCCGCTAAGCCCTGTGGGGTCCAAGGAACGGGATAAGGCCTTAACTGCCCAGAAGGAAAATGGGTTGTCTCAGAAGGTGGTGAGTCCCAGCGGCCCATGCAGGCTGGCTGGGCTGTCCGGGCTCATCAGAGGTAGGACTGAGCGAGCCCGCTCCCCTTGCCCCCAGCCCAAGACTCTAGAGGTCCACATTCACAACTGGTGGGAAGGGAGGGGAAAGGACTCAAGACCTACATGAACGGCAGGATTCCCAGGGGTGGATGGGGAAGACACTGGATCAAGAGCCTAGGCCTGCAAGGATGAACTTGGCCGGGCCAGCGGGAGGAACACCTGGGGCAGAGCCTACTGAGGATCAAACACTAACCCTTGTGACCCCTGGTTTTGTCTGTTGACCCT